GTCTGCTTGTACTTAAACCACTGCTTTGGTCAGTTAAGTCAGTCAACATAATAAAGTTTACAGGCCAATTCACCAAATCACAAGGGCATGCGTATGGCATCTTTAGGCTAAAGTCGGATCACTTGGATGCTCGGCTCAGTCTCAGCGTTCCAAGATGTTCCCGTAATTCCTCAAATAGCTATCTATCTATCTCACTCTGAATCCAAACTACCTTTACGTTAGAGCAGCTCTCTTTTACTGATCAGTTCTGTCCTTCTTACATCATTTTTTATTCTGACATTTTCCGTTGCAGTTTTTAACATGCTTGTTATATTAATACCCTTGTTTACAGTTAGGCATTCAATATATTCTATCTATCTTATTTTTAGGTTTATGCCTTTATTTTGATTGGAATGGTTATTTTTATGATGTTTGTCTACATATAAATCATATAAATACATGTTTAAGAATATTCATGGCAGTTTTTATATCTGCATTTTATATATATATACACATTTTTTTTTCTTAAGACAGAGCATTTTTGGACATATCACTTTCACTTGCATGTCTTTTCAATTTCACCACCTTGTCAGATTAAACCGGTCATTAATTTTAAACTCTCTCATAACTTTCCAATATGATTTATACAAAACCCTATACAAAGAGGCTCCATCTATGAAAGAAACTAAATATTAAAAATTTGTTCTAACTAAATAAAAATAAATAATTTAGTTATGTTTTTCCCTCCATATTCCATGGAAGTTAATAAGCACAGATATAACACAAATACAAAGCAAATGACAGACTTACCAAAATGTTTACGTTAAGTGAATTGTTACGTGTAGAGAGGAGTAGTGCAAAGTTTAGGGTTAAAGATAAAACATTACTTTGCAGTTATTTCCCTTAATTCTACACTAATATATGGAATGAATCATCGAGAATTGCTAGCAAGCATTTCTCACCTCCTCAACATTCAATTTTCAAGATAATTTGGCTATTATGTTCATTCTTTTTCCCTCTGGAGTGACATGCAACTGGCTTCAACCAGCCTCAAGCAGTTCTTCTGTAATTATTTAAAATGACTCTAGCTCCAATCAGTAGAAAAGTCTAGGTTAGCTGGAAAATAATTAAGTGCATATTCCTCACCTACAAGTTAAAGTTTATTTTTTATTATAATGGAGCTCTTTCAGCTGGAGAGAAAAGATGAAAGAATGAGTAATGCCAGTGATTTCTTTTTGTAGTTCGGAAGCACTGATGCCTTATCAGCTCTTACATCAGACTATCAGACTGCTCCTTCAAATGTGAAGAATACAAGAGTAAATTAGTAAGAAAATTCCCATAGTCAGGGATGCAGAATCCACCCTACAATCCCAACTCTAGCAAATGGCATTATAACCATTCTGATAACATTTGATTCATGGGAAGTGTTATCTTAACCATTTAAAAACATCCCCTTAATGAAAAGTTCAGGTAATTCAGGTAACTGGGCTCTGTGTGGAAGAATAGATTCAATGAAAAGGTCTACCTCAAGCAGGCAGCTTGAAAAATGAAGAATGAAGCAGTCAAAAGCCCACTGTAGTGGAAATTATCTGAAAATGTAAAGGCAGGGGAGAAGGTTCAAACAGCACTTCACAATCCGTCTGTAAAAATACTAGGAGGCCACTGGGAGGTGGCCATAAATACCCTTTTGGCAGGAGTAAGTGGTTCTTCTGCATGGTGATTTTAATAGCGTTCAGCTAAGCCATGAAAAGACACCAAATATAAAACTGTCTTGGAGGAGTTTGAGAAGCAAACTTATAAAAATGTGGCACAGACACTAAGCGAATCTAAAGGATGGGAAACACAATGAGATTTATGATTTATTCAAGGTATGACTGTCTATCAGTAACTGCAGCCTTTTTTAACCCCTCAAAAGGGAGACTTACAATGCAGTTTTACAATGACACAGGCAAAATTACACATTACAACCACAAACAAAAACTAGGTAGTCCCCATGCGCAAATAGGAGGCCTGACTTCAATCTTCAGGAGAAATTCATGTATTCTTGAGAACTCAATGCTAACTGAAACTGTTGAGAGCCCATTTATGAGAGTGGCACAGAGAGCTTGTAGGCATTCACCAGAGAACACAGAACTTATTTTCCTGGCAACTAATATGAGTGAGATCTGGCTGGTGACATAACAGCAGCGTAGACTCACAGAACATCTTCTGCTTGGGCTGCATCTGCCTTCCTCACCTCCACCTCTCTCTCCTACGAGGCTTTGGGAGTTCCAGAACACGGGAGGACACTGCTCAGAGAGGAGGCAGCAGCTCACAGTAGCTTGGGCCAGTGCCTCTGCTTGCCTTGGTCATTACAGCTGAGAACATTCCTTCAGTGTCTCAGTCCTCCACAGTCTCAGTCTCCAAAGGGACTGAGAAAGACAGTAAATGTTCTGTCTAGAAGAAAAACTACTTCCAGGCACTAGAATGAAACAAGGACTGCAGAACGTTTTGATTCGCCTGAATAAATATTCATCTTGCAGTTATTACCTGATAACTATTATAACTCACAGGGATCTCTGGCTATACTGACTAAACTAAATAGTTCTTCTTCAACAAGTCAGAAAAGGGACTCAGCCACAGGAAAGGTCAGCTTCCTATCTCATTAATTCACTGTTTGTGAGACAAATTCCAGTCTGAAATCTTGTTCAATATATGGAATAAATTCTGCGCAATATCCAATTTTGCACAGAAGTCTTTCTCGCTTTGAGACAACACAAAGATGAATAATATAACAAGAAGATGGTAGCAGGTAGCAGGTAGCATCCAGAGAAGAAGGTAGAGCTATCCAGAGAGAAATAACCTCTTTTCTCTGGTGTTTGGGAGATCCATTGCATAAAGTGAATTTAACTGATCAGAATGAGTTGCCCTTTTTTGAAAAAGTGTCATGTTTAAAGCTCTTTTCCTTCATCAGTGGGAAAACAGCCACTTAGCAAATGCAAATTTTTCATACTGAGCAGCTTCAAATGTACTGAGTAATGTAAAATATCTTCCCATATGAACAAATACTTTATTTCCCATATATAATGATCTTCTTGGTTATCACTAAAGAGTGACTCTGTAACTCCTAGATTATAGAATATAGTCTTTATATCTTAATTAGAAAGAATCTGTTTTATAGCTTATGGTTAAAAAACAGTTCCCATCTTCAGTAGTTCAAGCACAAGGGAAGATACTCAATACATACTGAGAAGAGGTTATATGCAAATATATAGGCAGATCAGCCCTCAAAGGTAGTTTTCATTTTGCCTCTCCCGGCTCTGTACAGAAGCTGATAACCTTAAATGTGCTACAATAACTTAAAATTATAGTGAAAAAAAAAATATGTATTTCAAGTGGCTTCAATTTTCAGAATTAAGGAAAGTTTAAATAGATTAGTTTTTAAATTGCAGAATATTTTAAAATAAATTGCTTTAATTATTTTTAAATGTTCCAATTTCTCAAACTAAGTTAATTTAAAAATCTTGATGAAATATGTATGGATTTTAAAATTCAACAGAGTTTAAAAATTGCTACAAAAATTCCTGCTCTTAACTCCAATTCTTTAATTAAAAATATTTTTCATTCTGGTTGTACCAAATGCATATTTGCAGATAAGAATGGCCATCTCCCCTTCATTTTAAACAGTGAGGACCTACAATAACTATAAATATGTGGGGTTTTCTTGGGGGGAGGAAGATCTTCATAAAAAATTAATGCCATATATACGAAAAAAAGAGGTCAGAACTCTTGGAGACTCAAGTCCTCTCCTTTACCACAAGAAATACACAGCACTGAGAATAGCAATGTAGACTTTCTTACTCTCTGCCTTTGTATTCTCATCTTGGAAACTGAGCTGTGCAGATAAGATCCATAATGTAGCTATTGAAGAAAGTTCTTGTTTTCCTTCAGTAAAAATAGCCTTTGACCTAGGGCTATGGGAAAGGGCCATTTTGAACAACTTGATGGATAGCCAGAGTTTCAAGTTCTATTTCACTGCAAAAGTCAGATCATTTCTGACTGAACACAGAACACCTTTGAGGAAGCCATGCTTTATTATTATTATTATTATTATTATTATTGTTTAAAGAAAACTTATAAACCAAGGTCAAGTTGACCATTACTCTTCTTTTGGTCTGAATTGTTCTTAATGTTCCCCTCCTGAAATCTCTCCATCTTTTCAAGATCCCATCTGCAGTGGTCACTAAAACACACTAAAACACACTAAAAAATGAGTTACAGTAGCGATTTTCTTGTTGCCTAATACAAGGAAATTATAATTTTTGTATTCTTAGTTGACATTATTCTGAGTTTGAATTCAAAATTCAAATTAAATCAAGCATCATCTTGCATTCGTTTTTTCTCAAGGCATGACTGTCTTTCATATAATTGCTTTAAAATGTAAGTATTACTTGATTACAATCAGTATTTCATGCAAACAGATCATTCTACATAAATAACTTTCTCCTATTGCTACTTATTGCTAACATGGTTTGATGTTATCTATAAACAGCATCCTGACTATCAGCAAGGGTGCAAGTTATGGATTCAATGTTTCAGTTGTAAATACAAAACACTGACTAAAAAGAATGAAGCAATCAATTAACTTAAGCCCTCAGTTAATTAACAACACTGACTCTGCACTGGCCTGGTCTAGACATGAATTAGCTAAACCAAGAAAAGTCAGATAGGTCATCCAAGTCTCCACGTAGAATGCTTATAACCATTAGAGTTAAATGGAAAAAAAATCCCTTACCTTACATAATAAGTTTCAAAAAACAACTACAGATGTAGCAGATTCTTAGTCACTTACATTTTTAGACTTCAACTGTTCTGTTATATAGCTATTGCAAATGAAAATTTAAGCAGTCATTTCTGGTCAAAACCTCATATAATATAGATTGGCTATGTAATCTCAAAAATCATGTACATCATTCCCAGGAAAATATTAAGTTGTTAAGACACCAAAAATTTGATAGTTCTAGGCATTGACCATTACTCACCCTTGAAGGTCTCATTGCAGTATAAATTACTGAAAAATGAATTCCTCGTTCTTGTAGACCCATCATCAGTCTTCCAATTATTTTATCTATAAAGAGAAATTTGTATAATTTAACAGACTCTGTCAGTTGAGAAAAATAAAATCCTATGCTTGTTGGATGTAACAAGCTAGATACTTTAGCTTATTTAGTTTATTTATACAATTCAGGTGCTGACAACTTCTACAAACAGGCTAAGGCGTTCAATGTCAAGAAATTCACAGTTCCAATGACACAAGACAAAGCAAACTCATTACAGCAGCTCAGATGAAGGGGTGATTTTGAAGACAACAAGTAAGTATAGTAGAAAAACTGAGGAAAAATGAAGTCTGGAAACGAAGAGTTTTGGCTTTGCTTTTATATTGAAAAGAAATACCAAAAAAAAAAAAAAAAAAAAAAAAAAAAAAAAAAAAAAAAAAAAAAAGCCTGAGTTTCCAACTTTTTTCTCTTACCAGATTTTTACTAGAATTTTCAGTATGGTTCAAAAAACTCTCTAAAGAAGATTCTCTTTGTTCTGCAAATGAAGGTCATTATGACAAATACTTATGATTCATAGGTTTCCAAACTGTAGGTAAAACTATTAAGACTGACTTATCATATGGAGTATAATAGTTGTGAATCAAGAATGCTGATTAACGTTGTCACTGAGACAGATAAAAACATAAGCCAGCAGACTAATATTTACTTTAACAATGTCTCTCCACTTCTCATTCACAAAACATTCTAATGAATGGATATTTTATAACCCAGACAAATAGGCTGTTCAGATTTCAAGGGTATACTTTACAACAATATTTTGCTTTCTTGTATTAGTAGCAGATCTTATTTTATTATCCTTTTAACCTGCTATAGTAATTATTGTCTCCTGTAAGAAAAAAAAATGCTTAACTTTTGTGCAATTGCAAGTATTTTTTTCTGCTGATTTTTTACCAAACTGATCTCCACATTTTTGTCAAGAATCACATATAGATAAAGTTCACTTTTTAAAAGTTATTACCAAAAGTGTCTGCTATGAGAAACAGAAGTTTGCTGAGAAAGCAATTGTTTGTGCACTGATAGTGTAATTATTTTTGGAGAAAGTGTCTAAGGAATTAAATAATGTACATTTAATATTCCATATTCACAGAGAGCAATTTATTTTAAAATAAATTAGGAGCATCATTTAAAATTTGTGAAAGGAATAATACTACATAGGTTAATGCATAGGTTTTGCTTGTTTTTCCTTTCATTGAAGCAACTGAATGTATTCTGAAATCACACTTTATTTTCATTTCATTTCAATAAGGAGCAATGTGTAACTATAGTTACCAGTAAAATCTATAACCTTTGGGTTTCTGAACATTCTAGAGGAAATGTGTTTATTCAGAGAAGTTTCTGCAAGCATATTTATGACCATCAAATTGATACAAATCTTCATTTACCTGTGATCCAAACCCCCCAAAGCCACATTGTTCACATTGCTTATGAAATATTTGCAAGTTCTTCAAGGCAAAGGGCATAGATTTTCCCAGCCTATCTTAAAAGCATCCAAACGGCATGCCTACATGAGAACTTAAGTTATCCCAGACTCTGTACAGAAAAAGAGGCATCTCCAGATGGTATTTTTTTGACATTAAAGCAACTTTAGAGTGATCCTAATGAAGACGTTACTTTAGATACAATGAATTTAGGAAATTCTATTAAGATCTATTAATGCAAAGTTCGTCTAGAATGACCTCACCTAGCTAGCATAAATCCCTGCTTCTATGTCCTTGCAGAAGGATTAAACCTTTCTCACTTGCTGGAGAAAAATGAACTTCATTAGGAAACTGTGCATCATTAATTTCTAATCATAATTTCTTTGTGTTGTTGTTTTATACATGGATGGAAGGGATAGAAGAAAGAAACTGAGAAGTTCTCAGAGGAGAAAGTGAAAAGTATAAACTACGAACAAGAATGAAAAAAGGGGAAGAGAGGATGAAAAGGGGAAGAATATGGGGCAAGAAAAGGGAACATGGTTGACTAGATTGAGATTCAGAATGAAGAGAGGAATATATGCAAAAGCAACTGAAGAACTTCATGTCATGCAAATGGAGAGATGGGCAGGTTTGCCACTGAATTTTGAGATATGCTGAATTCAAAATCTACAAGACAGAATGCAAACCTTCTCCTGGGAAGAGAAACATTTAGTAAAACTGGCAGAAACCTCATGCACAAGAAAAAAATACCAAAGAGAAAGATAAAGAAGAACAAAAAGAGATCAAAGAAGACAAAAAGGATCCTTTGGTTGTATGAAGGTTAAAAAAGGGAGAAGATGCTCCTCCAAAAGCTTGTTACTACAAGTAATAAAAAGGAGAAAGAAGTGAGCCTATCTATCTAAAGATACAGTGAGGGAGAGGCTGGAAATAAGCCTGAATCCCTTGAATCCTGAGCAGGTTTGTATTTTGAAACCCAGTATGGATTTCATAGTGTGTCTCCTTTTAAAAAGATGCTTAGAAAACTTGTCTTACTTCAGCTTCTAGGTGGTTCAGACCAGCATTTTTCCTTGGGGCAGAATCTGGACCCATTTTTTTTTATATTACAGAATTTGCTATCTGCAGGGAGTAAAACAGGAGGAGAGATTTCTCCAACATTTCATTATAGCAGATTTTAAACTCTCTACAGTGAAAAGGAAAGAATTTGCAGTGACAAACATAAAATGCTTTATGAACTGCCAGACAACCTCATACAGGTCTGCAGTCTTTTTCTGGGGTTTTACTGCAGATAATGTAAAAGAAAAAAAAATACAAGCAATATTTATGGGCTAAAAATTCACTGGTCATGTTACCAGTGGTATATTTTTGTTGCTTATCCAGATAGGATCACTCCATAAGAAATACTAATGACCTCACAAGTAGTTATGACCTCAAAGGGTCTCATACTAATACGTACCAAATGACTGTGGTAATGCTGCTATGAGAACACAGACATGTTAAAGACCAGAATATATGATATGAAAGCTGTATTTAGGACCTTCTATTTGTTTACTCTATATTACATTTGGGATTATTCTTCTGGCATTCTGTCCCATAAGCTTCATGATAATTTTAAGAAACAGGGTCTCAGTAACTTTCATTTGAATTAAAACTTCCTGCTGATTATATTCCCAGGATTTATTCAGCAATGTATTCAGTGGCAGCTTTGGCAAAAGTAGCAGAAGGTGAGGATATCACCCACTTTTCTGCTTTTCTCTATCACAGCTGAGACTCAAGAATAGTAAGTCAAAATTTTGCACTTAGCCATAAAAAGCGGCATGTCTTCCCAGATCCACACTTATCTTTCCTGATAACAGTTCGCACTAACTAGAAAGCAGGGATAGCCTGTTCTTCCAACATCCCACAGATCTCTTGTTAACTTAGGCTGGAGTTTGTGCAGCTGATGACAAATAGAGAAATGTCCATTAAAAAAAAAGAAGTTCATGTTTAGAACCAACAAGGCTGTTTTGAATCTGCTAGTTCCTGGGAACAGGAAGAGAAAACTGCTTAATTATCTGCCTTATCTACAGCACAATGTGTGTCACTGAAACTACCTGTACAGTGATTTGCAGACTTGTTTGCAATTTTCAGACACTGTGTCTAATTTAGAGTAGTAAGCAAAAGCCCTGAAAAATATCAGTCTCTCAGTGTATGGTAACGTTTTTTTTTCATCCAAATAAGAAAAAGTTTATTTTAGGATTGTTTGGAGAGACTCATCTTTAATGAGCTTATATAATACCTGCAGAAACAGTAAACAATTCTAAATCCGAAGACTGTGAAAGTCACTGGCACTATTTTACAAAGATGAGAAAACCATTTCACAGTCATTCAATCACGTGGTCTCTAGCTCAGAACCACCAGGTAAGCCTGATGAGCAAAGACAAGATCTAAGATGCTGTCAGATGTAGGGTTCACACTCTCAACTGGGAGGATTTCAAGGTCTGCATAAAGATCCATCACTGAAGCAGGGGTGGATTATAATTAAAAATCAGGTCTGATACAGAACTGTATTCCTTTTAGTGGATTTTGAATCAGTCATCCAGTTAAGCATTATGCTAACTGACTATTTATAAGTGCTATAGATGGGAAAAAAAAAAAAAGAAACCCTTTAAATAGTAGTGCTAGTCTTAAAGAAAAACTCGGGAAACTCCAGAGAATACAATCTGTTCAAGCAAAAACACAGACTTAATTGATGGAATGTTAGTAATATCTTGGTCACAATCCTCACCATTTTCAGCAACTGCTTCCACGGTAGAAATATCATTGAAGTTACTACAAAGAGAGTGGGAGAAAGATAATTAAAAATCTTTTACAGAGAAGAACAATGTTTCCCAGAAGTGTATATAGATATGGACTAATAAAGGCGTCACTTTTAATGCCAGATTACATAGTTCCTCACCATTCTCTTTCCTATTCATAAGCTTTTTCTTCTGCAGATTCAATTAGAAATTAGAAACAAGGACTACATCTTCAGCTGATTCCTCCAATACATCCAACTTTCTTAGCTGCAGAGAAGCCAGAACTTCGATATTGCTTTGGCTATCCTTTTCCTAGCCTTCCTTGAATTTGGTGCCCCTTTCTTCCCTGATCTAACATTCGTATGTGAGCTTCTTCGAATGGGTATCAATTAAATGTGTGTATCATTTGTGTAGGGACATGACAGGTACAATAGCATTTTCTTAAGGTCCGTTTATACATGAACCATATGCTAACATGGTCACATAACAGCTAAGGAAGGGAGCAGAGCAGCATGAGATAAGCAGAGGAATTCAATCCACTCACATCCAGTATTTCCTAAACGTATGATAGCCATGGTCAGTATGAATGCACAGGAAATGGGGAAATGCCCAGCTTTCTGCTGAAATAGCTGCCATTCTGGATCAGGTCAGTGACCCATATTTAGCTTTCAAGAGCTCACCTGGCAATCCGCAGAGCTGAGAAAGCCCTAGAAGCAACAATCAAACAGCTGAAGGAATAGCCTCTCCCTACTTCCATTAGATAATGACTGTCATAGGTTTGGACACATGAAGAATTATAGCCTTCCTATTCATTCTTGTGTGCGGAAAACTAGTCTCATTACTGAGGTTAACTTCTAATTTGTTTGCATATTTGTTTGCCTGCTTATTTATCCTGACAGCTTTTTGACTCCTGGAATGCCTTCTGGCAATTAATTCTGCAGGCTAATCACGTGCTACATAAATTAATTCAGCCTTTCTACTATAACGGTTTGTCATTTAATTTTATTAGTTGTCCCTTTGTTCTCATATAATGAGGTAGGGAAAATAGGAATGCTTGATTGACTTCCTCAATACAATTCAGCTATTATACCTGGTAAGCTCATCAGAGAACACACAAAAACAAAAACAAAACAAACAAAAACAACACTGAATGCACACATACAAAAGAATAACTTATACTGATCCCACTTCCATTTTGATATTTAAATTTCCTGAACATTAGATATTTTTTCAAAAAGCTTTAAAATATCTTGCATATATTTGAGTCAGTTTTAATTATGACAAATTCCTACCTGACAAACGTTTGCAGCTGTACCACAAACAGGTTTGGTTTAGATGTATTCACTTCTAGTTGGGAGATATCAAGATTAGTTATGTTTGTTAACTTCCAATGCGCGGACTCCTGGAGAAAGCCCAAAAGATACCGGGTAGCCTTGCAGTCAACAGCAGGCAAAACTAAGGATGAAGGAGAAGACTGAAGAATTTCCTGTAAGAAATTTATGGACAGCTTATTTATTTTATTAAATACAAACCAATTGTTTCCTATAGAGCTAATTTAATATTTAAGCTGAGGAACCACGATAATAAACATCAAGGGAGTTCACACCAGAACCGTCATGCTGACCACAGACTGCCCTTGAAAAGGGGGCAATGAGGTGGTACATGTTAGAGTTCTTATTCATGCATTCTTTGGGGCAAGCTTAAAGCACTAAAGTGTCATGAAATTCTTACTGCCCTTTCAACATATGTGGTAGGGGAGGAGAGGTAGCTGAAGTCAGTAGCCTTCTCAGCTTTCAGCCTGAGAAAGAAGAATATGGAGAAGGCATTGGAGATGATGGAGGGAAAGAAAAATAGGTCACGAATAGCTTCCAGAAGCAAAGGATCAGTGTTTTTGCACAATTTCCACCAGCAGTGCAGAGTATACCTTTCCTTTGTATGTATCCTAGTGGTGTAGCTTGCCATACAGATAAGTGTCTAATTTGTAACTACTAATTAATGAATGCTACCTGCTTTAGGATTTACAAAGCCTCCAGACACAAACTTTATATATTTTATGTGCTGTTTTTCCACTCAAAATACAAAATTGTAATATTCAGGCTGAACTGGTTCATACAATCCATTATCAGAGTATCTATTACTTTGTTTTTAATTTTCATATCTGAGTTTCTGATTTTCATAGCTGATGAAAATACTTGAAGAAAATGAATTTTAAAACATTCTCATTCTGTAAGCATTGAAACCTGAAAAAAGTCAAGAATATCTTTCCAAAGTTTTTTCTTGATGATGAAATTCACTTGGAACACAGGGAAAGAAAATGCAAGATGAAGACTTGGAACCATCAAGATTAATTAACTTAAAATTTAATGTGCACATTTGCAGATATATGAGAGTTTTCAGTCTCTTAACTTCTTTTTTGCATTTCTACATTTCAGTCAAATTGTCACTTGATCTAACATCCAGATATCCAACGTGTTATAGATTCTCTCTCCAACTGGTGCAAGTGTTGTGGTGTTGCTAACACTCTTCTCCTCCTACTCTTTTTCCTTTTTGTATGCTCTGTGACTGCCTACTACTTTGTGACCTTTTCTGGTTCTTTCTAATTGCTCACATGCTTTTCTGTGGTTTGTATTTTCTCTCAGCATTGATTTCACACAGAGGGAACAGAGCCAAAGAGAACGTATTTTCACATTTCTATAGAGGTTCATAAGGGAGGATTATGTAATAATGCCTGATTTGCCAGATTAATAAAAAATGTAACTGCAGAAATTAGACCAGAAGGCACCGATCTGGTTCACAACCCATTGGGTAGTGTTTTTAACACTTTCTAGGAGAAAAGAATGATATATTCCATTCTGGTTTTGCATAAATGAATTTAGAGCTAAAGTCCTGAACAATAATCAATTATTTTATTTTGCTTTAGACATTTTAATCCCTCTCTCCCTAGCAGCAGCCAAAATGGCAATAGCTAGTTCTTCCAAGAACATATATTAGGCTGATTACTCATTTATTGTAACATAAGAGATAAAATGCATCATTACTGAGTAATATTTGAATCTGAATCTCTATTTCTAACCAATCCTACAGTGCCATCTGTCTCAACCACTGGCATTCAACCGTTTTCCATTTGAAAGGCAGGCATAGCTGGAGATCTACTCAGTACACTGGATAGCTATTTTGATCCTTTGTCTCTTGTTTGTGCATTTTGACATTTGGTGAATGCACATTTGTCTTTAAAATGCCAATATGATGCCTTAAATATTTTAGCATTTCAATTCAAATGCATGTTCAAAGCTCTGGAATCTTGAAAAGAGGCTGAAGAATGCACAGAACTACTTGAGAAACACCTGAATTTGTATTCTACTGCAGGTCTAAAGATAAAGAAATAAAACCACAAAGCATCTGGGAAAGGGAAAACATTCTTTAGTGTGAGAGAAATCTTCACAAAGATAAAAAATAGGTAAAAGAATGGGTAGAAGTATCAATTATCAAAGCAGAAAAAGGTCATCAGTGAAATTTCACAGAGATGCGTACCAGGCTCTGTTCTGTTCATAAATAAGAGGGCATAAATACTGATGAACTGATGAAGTCTGCTGATTTCACTGGATTTTTTGAGATGGTAAAGACAAACGCTGACTGAAGAAATGCAGTAGCACCTTTTGGTCCAGCCTCTTGGGAGACGAAGCAACTGATGGCATTAAATGTAAAATTGACTTAAGCAGAGCATGGGAGAAAACAACAATGGTAATTTTATATACAGATACAGGAATTAACTAAGTTGTCAAAATATATCGTCTTCCATGGACAGATAAAATGAACAACCTAAACAATGTGTGGAAACAGCAATATTACTACAGTACAACATATTCCTATTAAGCAGTTTCTCATCTGAATTAGATTATAAGATGCTGTTTAGCCAGCTGATTAAGAAATGAATGTGATTTACTGTTTCTATGATGATGTGATTGATGATTTTTCACATCATGTCGTACGTATGGAAATTTAAATTCTGGCCTGACAAATTAAATTATGCAGGTTATTGTACAATATCTGTGCATCTCTAATGTCTAGAATAGTAAATGGACAGAAATGTACCACATAGGACTAGCAAAAAGTTCTGACTACAGTAATAATTATGTAACTGCACAGTTACCAACTAATTGGAGGGCATTACCATAGAATGCAGTTTTAAGGAAATGAGTCCTAACTGAGGAAAGTGAAAGCTAATATTAAAGAACAGTAGTTTGTAGAATAGGTGACTGCTTGACAGAAAAAATCCCCAAATGCTAATCTTTTTGTTTTATTATTTAATTAAAAAGTTCTTTGAATGTTTAAGGCAAATGATCTACCTATAGGATCTCTGTTTGTAATAACTGGAAATTGAATTCTTTTATTATAAACACAGCCATTGATCCCAAAAGCTCAAAACAGTTGCTAATGTAGCTGAACAAATCTAATATCTGCAAATGTCTCTGTGGTTTACAAGCCTATAACTCTTTAGCAAATAACACTTTCTTCTTGTTGTACATATGCTTTTACATGCACATAGGAAATGAGATCTTCAGTTTAAGTCTGTGAATAAATTTGCATTGCTGAAGTTCAAGAGGAGGCTCCCTGAGTGACACAGAACATCTATTATAGCTAATGAATCAGTTGTGTAATAAGGAATATGAAGGAATAAAAATTTGTGATTATGCAACATGAAAGATTTTTGATTTCCCCAGTGAGAAAACTCAGACCTGACCTTGACTCTGTCCCATATTCTGTGAATACTACTATAGAGTCTTTCATATCATGACTAAGAAGGGATTTCTTTCACAAAGTGACCAAAGTGGAATGGAATTAATGTGAGAGCAACTGAGCAAACTTCTGTGGCCTCAGTTACACTGAAGATGGAACTGGATGATTAGACTCAAGAGCCTTTCTGGCACTAAAAGCTATGAGTCTATGCATATAGATATTGTCAAATTGTCCATATGTGCACCTAAATGAAAAATAAATATTTAGTTTATATATGCAATTCCTTTTCATCTGTGTCACAGCACCTCACCCCCACAAAACTCTGCTAGAAAACTATTAAGATTGCCAAGTCAATACATCAAAACTAGTAAGTACTGGAGTTAAGTTTATCAGTTCCTCAAAAGAAACTTCCCAGTTTCAAAGAAACTGTAATCAGAATTTTTTTCAGCTTCAGGACAGAGTGGAAGCAGAGGCAAGACCAAAAAGCAAATGAACTTCCTTTTACTGATGTTTATACATTTTGTTCAACACCTAAATTCAAACTTTTGCTCTGCCAAACTCGGTTAGTATCTGTAATCCCATTTAGTTAATCCTCAGATTTACCACCACAGATTTAGTTAATTCATTTAACTAAGTTAACCCAATCCATTTAGCACACCACTCCAAATTTTTAGATCCATCAGTCCCAGGACTCAGTTCTAGTTTTTGGCTAAAAGTTCTAGAGTGCAGATGGAATCCCAAGCATGAGGCAAAAGATGCAAAGTTTGAAACACTTTCATTTCTTTCCTCTTCAGCTTATAGGGGCCTACTTAAATAAGACCATTATATCACCAGAAGCTTGCAGTAGTCATGCATATATTTCACACAGCTCTGAATTATAAAATCAAATCAGCTTTGCAGTCATGGAAGCAGGAAGAAAAATTGCCCCAGACACAACCTTGCATAGATTTTAAATCTAAAGGAGAAAGGGCATATTGGAGATGTATCAATATATCTGCCTGTGGATGTTGATCCTTAGAGTATATATAAATATTACTCCCATTCTTTCCCCAAAGCAAGTTTTTACACACTCCAAACTGGTACTTTTGTTCCAGCATCAGTATTAAAACTTTCAGATGGCAACAAGATGAAGAGTTTTCCAGTAAGTGATACAAAGAAGATGTGAAGCTCTTAGAGGATAGATGTAAAGGCAGATGCAAAAACAGATGCAAAGATAGATGCAATATGTGGAGGCTTATGTGTTTAATTACACATACAACTTTCTGTGAGGTGCTTAAAAATTAAAATTCCTCTCATGATCTGGTGTTAGCTGTGTTGCATGTAGCTCTGGTTATCCAGTGCTGCCTACAGAACTGCTTTTATGACTTTCTTGTGTGAACATTTATTTTTTCAACAGTTCAGAATATTGTCACATCAGTTTAAGCAAAGATGTTAAGCACAAAGTCTATAAATCTCAAGAAGACAAGAACAAACGGATGGCTTGGTTGCTCAAGAGAACTTGATCTTAATTTATGTGTCTGCAGTTTATTTCAAATTACTGAGGTAGTAGGAACTTTTATTTTTTTCTCATAGATTAAAGCAATCCATTATGTAAGAACTATATTCAACTGTTAGCTGTCTGGACGGGTTAAGACAGCTTCACTTTGCATGAAAATAAAATGGGTTTTCAATTTTGAAAATCCAGAATAAACAATTGACTCTTGTAATTACTTTTCTTACTGATGCTTCAGAACAGTATTTGAGGTTGTTTTTTACAATATAAAATCAGAGCTTAGAAAAAGCTTGTCAGTTAAGATGAATTCTGAGGACTTGATTTTCAGAAATAAAATAGGTACAAAAGATATTTCTGTAAATTCAGTTGATTTACTTTAATCCATCTGCTTAACACAAATAATGTCAATAAATACATCAAAAGGGAAAACTGTTGCAATTCAGTTTTATTCTGTCAATTACTGTCTCTTTGCATCTTAAATCATTTTTAATTTCATATATTCCATATAAAGAAATAAAAGAGAAAAATGCTTGCCTGAACGTTTTCAAATGGTTTCTTGTTACCACAGGTTTCACTGTAATATGTGAAATCATCTATGCTTAGCTGAAAAACAAAGAGTTTGGATTGGTGAGAAAAACATGTGTCATCTCATTTACATACAGATTTGCACTCAACATTGGCAAGATAAAAGGAATCAACATTACATACCGTATCTTGAACAATCAAGATGAGGTTTTTAGAATTTTGAGTAAGAACAGGTTGCAAAAGAACAGCCAGCTCCTGCGTTGATATAATGTGTCCTTCATGCAAAGCAGTGTTTGGATCCCACTGTGGCCTACAAAGAAAATTATTTTTCCTGTAGAACTTGTTGCCAATGATGAAACCTCTTCTTTCAATCAGCTCTACAGAAGAAAGCAGCGCTATCATCTTTAAATTAAGATCAGGTTTACAGTTCACTTTACTTTCATTCTATAGGGGAAGAATTTGTCCATTTACGTCCATAAAAAATTAACTGAGTTACAGCAGGCATAGAATCGGTCCACTCCATGTTTATCTATTAGCTTTTCTTGCTTTTATACAACAGCATATCTCTATCTTTCCAGACATTAACTATTAAACGGAATTAGTATCTTGAAAACCTTCAGAGAATATTCCCAAAGGGGATCTCAACTCCTGAAAAAGTTTCTAGTATTGTCAGACATCTCGGTGGACAGAGAGCAACAGAAACTTTTTCATAAGTTAAAGTGTTTCTTCAGTATTTTATAAAAAAAATTCTCTCCTAATGTTTTTACTGTTGAATCAACCTTTCTGCAGAAGCAGCACATAAAAACAACCTTTTCAGGGGCATGAACTGTTCTGAACAAAATGGCAAAAGACTCCAAGAAAAGCTTACAATTCTTTTGCCAACCTGTCATTGTGAGGAGTTGATAGAGGAGACCATTTATTTAGTTTTTACAAGGTTTTTACAAGACTTTTAAACTTGTAAATTGCAAGTTTATTACAAGAAAGAGCAGTTATGGGCAAAACTAGATGTGGCATTATTCCTTTAAAACTTGGCTGGATTTTTGTAAAAGCAAGAGTAATTTCTCATGCAGCTTTAATAATATGTTATGTGCACATATTTGGATGAAATTTACTATGAAAATTTTGGTCCCCAGTGATATATCTAAGATAATATTGTCATTCTGTAGAAAACTTAGATCTTGAAGCTTAATCACCCATTTTCCACACGCATCCATTAGCTGCTGAGGCCTGAGACATCAGGTATTCTAATCTACTTAAACAGTTGCTATTGCAAGGAACAGAACATAAAAATTTACAAAGAACAGAACATAAAAAGTAGCACCAACTATTATATGGCTGCAAAGAGGGGAAGCTGAGATGCTGATTAGATTTCCAAAAGCAAATTTCAAGACTGTCTTCTTCAAATGCAGCTTCTGTGAATGAAAATGATCTTTGCAGTCTCCTAAGAAGTGGCAGAGCAGTGGTAACGAACAGGCAGGAAGATTCAGTGATGTTTCTCAGAGAAACAAAACCTACATTTCACTTTGAGATTTCCCATAATTCTGATAAAGATTACATGGAGTAAAACTGAAGTTTCCAAAGAGCAGAGATAAAAGTGTAATCGTGCCATAATAGGTACCTAGTTCACTGTAGATTTTGAGTTAGAGCAAACAGTACATGTGGGAGACGCTTCCAGGAAAAGGTGCCACAAATGTTAAAATTAACTTTGGTAAACGTTCAGCCTGTCACCTTTCCATAGCTTTAAAAGTAAACTTTCTGTGTGTGTTTTGGAAAGCAATTCTTTCCTCTCTTTGACAAAAGTTAGCATTTAACATTCTTTTTTCTTGTACTCAGCATCCCCACTTCCTTCTTCATTTATGCTTGGAAATCAACATTATATTTATGAAGCCAAACAACTTAGAAATTACTACAGACATTGCTCAATTTTTGAGGAAAGGCATACCCGTGATCTCAAAGATTTAAGCTTCATCTTTAAAAATAAGATATTAAAAAAAAATCTCCCACTGATTCAAAATGACTATTCAGGTGCCAACTTTCACACTGACTCCATGCATATTTGCTGCATTTGCATAGCCACACCAAAATGTCAATGATATTAAAGGCAAAGAAGATAGATTTAATATGAGAAGTTAGAGAATGTGATGAGAAATGATAATGAACCATTTGCTATGTTTATCAGTAAATCAGCTGATAGATAAAATCTGTTTCATGGCAAATACTAGAAAGACTGCAAAATTTGAGAGTTCTTTTCTATAGCTGAAAATAAAAAATAACACATGAAACAGAAGTTATGCAGAGCAGCACAATGTTTTTTGTCTTGAACTCAGAAATGTCACATATACAGATTTTAGAAATACAGTGATCGCATCTGAAAGCATAATTACTTCCAAATTATTACGTGCTCCTTGAAAGAGTTTTGCTGGCTTTCTAACAGTGTCTAACAGTATCCACATCCACCATATTAGGGATACTTTTGTTTTGTTTCTCTTATGCTGAATACTGGATGTCTCAATTTGTTGAATGAGTTGGTATAATGTAATTTATCAACTGATATATCAACTGCTCTCTTTTCCATGCAGGAGCCAGATGATGCAGGAAGAAGAGAGGAAATAGCTAAGCTCATTCTTGCTTTTCTTTCTCCCCTAACTGCTCTGCCTTTGTAAGAAATCTAAGCATAGAAATTACTGCAAAATTGGGATAATAAAATATCTTCTCTAAGCTGTGGAGGGTTTTATAGGTACTTGGGCAGTTCTCGCTATTTAGGATTTTGAGAGTTATTTTTGATGGGAGTAAATTTTCCAAGATTTTTTGTATGTGGATGTATGGAAAGAATGGCCTGTTAGTTAAGGACCTCTCTATCTTTTAGCTTATAGTCTTACATCCTTGTTTTTTTAGGTGGCTTCTGGAATCTCTCCTCTAAGCTTTTTCTGTTGTTTCTTTCAGTCACCACATGAATACCATGTAAGTAACGGTATTTTCTCCTGCACAGAAGTAAACAGAGACCTTTAAAGACCACTCCTAAGTTTACAAGTCACCATTACTAGTAGCAGTACTAGAATGGAAAACGGTGACTGTATGACCAAAAAAAAAAAAAAAAAGTGTAGTGAATAGAAGAGTGTAGATCTCGTTTGTTGCTGGAAAAAAAAAAAAAAAAAAAAAAAGAAGTAAAAAGCTACTCAAGCAGTACAGCGCAATATATATCCATAGAAGTTTATCAATTATAGCCAAAATAACTCTGCTTTTGCTGTGTCACTTCTATGTGCCATTTCCTCCTAGTGATTTTTCAGAAAGCTTCTTACAACTTTAAGAAACACCGCAGCTGTGCAATTTGATATTACCACCTCAAAACACTTATATTCTGGATTTTCCATAAAAGATCTCCCAATATAAGAAGAAAATAAATGAAGGTAGTGTTATATGATGCATTCTTAGTGACTCTCAGCAAAAAGTGTTCCTGAAACGGACACATGAGGGGGCACAAAGGCCAAATATAATCAGAGGTCCCTCTGTGGCAAGAAAAAGAGATTCTCCCCAATATTGAAATCAAAGGATATTAGCTTATGGCTTATTTAAGTTGAAGCTACCTGTTCCAGGCTAACATCATTTTGGAGAATGTCCTGATATACTAGTGCTCCTTTGCGAAAACTGGGACGTTAACAGCCTACTGGCTTGTTCCAACCTCATCATTCTTCATATGCCATACCTACAATAATTAATCTGGGATAAGGGTTGGACTGGATGGATTGATGAATTTCAACTTCTTTTAATTTAAGAATTCCAAATTTTACCCTGGCAGGTACACTCACACAAAATGAATTAGTCACCTTCTTCCTAAAACTAGTATTATTTCTAGTTTTCATAAGCTTGGAGATGACACACTGAAACACCTGCATCAGTGTCAAAGCAACAAGTGGAGAGTATGAAGTAAAAGGTTATGCAGACAGAAGTTAGTTTCATATATATATTTTAATATATATATATATAAAAAAAAAAACATAATTTGATTCTCCTTGCCAATTACTTTGCTGACTTTCACCAGAACTAATTTCTCCCTGACAAAACTATAGCCTTTAAAAATGCAAAGGTCATGATAGGAGGAACACTCCATTCTGAAAAAAAAAAAAAGTTATGTAAACATGAAACTGGTTTTATCAGTCCACTGTCCTGATTTTCTTGCTCTGCTTTTGTAGAAACCTGACCAATCTGCACTAGAACAAGTTGTAAAGTGAACTCTGGCAGAAAGTTAGCGTTTATGACTACCCTGGATTAACTGATAAGACTTTGCTTATGTTAACAACAGGTGTAATACTTATATAACTTAGGGACTAGGACAAAGGAAACATGATCTTTTCTTGACTTTCAGGATCACTTCTATTCAAAAAACAACTCCCTCCAACATTTACTTGATTTTAAATGCAGAGGTTTAGAAGTCTTTCAGTTTTCCATATTACTTAGAGGTGAACATAATGCACATTCCGAATGTAGAAAAAAAAGTCCTTGGTGCTGAAACGTTGGTTTATTTATTGTAGGAAAAAAGCTAATAAAATTTGTCAAAATAGTAACATTTGCTCTTTGGCATATGTTGTGGCTCCCCAAAGACCAGAAGTTCATTTTCTGAAATTTCCTAACGGTTGAGAAAACTTATGTTAAAGGTGGTTTACTGATAGGGAAGAAATACAATTGCCAAAATATACTTGAAAGCCACATATTTAACATCATGCACTTTTCGTTTCAAATTCAGCTTCTCCATGGCCCTCAAGATTAAGGCATGAGATCTAAAAGACCATAAATGTACTATGTTTCTCTAAACAGCACTTTACACGGAGTGGATTTACTGAAGAGCTTATTCAGTCTAACTCTTAATGTTTCTAACATTTCTGAATCCTCCTATGCCTGTCTTACAACTACTCCATTAAGAAGCAACTGCAAATACAAACAAAATCCCCAAAAGATGAAAAGCATCAAGATTTAGTTCTCAGATTTCAATTCTAATAATCTTCCGTAAAGACAAAAGATTTATAAGGAGATAAAAGAGTTTAGTCTAATTCTTTTCTTAATGGGAAACACATAATTCCTAATATCTTGAACGTGCTTAAGAATGGATTAGAAGTCTCAAGAAAGGTATACTAAATCCAGCACAACTGCCTGAAAGGACAATTATCTCTCAAAACACCACTGTTTTGATCCTTTTTTTCACTTTACAGAATAGCAGATCATAAACAACACCCTAGAAATTAATGAAGCAACAAAGGCACAAAGGAATTAAGTCTCAAGAGAGACAAGCGTTGATGACAAGAGCTGATGATGATCAGAGAAATTTGGAAGTAGAATAACCCTTGTGTCCCCCCTCCAGGGACACGCAAGTAGTCATGCAAACAACAGGACCTGGAAGGAATCCTCATCATTGCAGGCCCTTTTATTTTTTTGTAGGGCAAAAGTGAGCGATGGCGTATGCTGCAAGGCTATTATTCACGGCACAGGAAAGCATTTTATGCTTATGAAACCACCTGACTGGATTATGACAGATTCTAAATACTGTTGATGTTAAAGACTATTTATACAACAGAAACAAGCAAGTAGCCAGAAGAGATCAGGTAACCTGTAACTTTGATGCTACTAAATAAATTAAGTATATAGTACTTCCAGAGAGTATGAGATGAACTCTCCACTACAGGTTTTACAATTTAAAGAAACCAGGTTAAAAATGTGGAGGCAATAATAAGGAAGAGAGATTAGAGTAATTTATATGAGGCAAAGGACACACGGCAAGCCTAAGGTACAGCAGGTCTGTTACCTTCCGCTCTAGAGTGGAAAACTTGTTTTGCCTTTAGCCCTTCCAATCAGTTCTGGGACTCTTTAAGTCTTTTAGGAACATTTTATTTTGAGTCCCTGACATAGATATTACCATGGCAAAAATTTGGACAAATACTGCTACACAAAATCTGCAGAAATGGCTTTATGAACAAGCACCGCATAGTCTACTTACATTTTTAGGCATCCAGTATCCCACCTGGAGATTCTGCTCTGCTCAAGTGACTGTATTTCTGGAAATCCCAAATAATTATATAAATTCTTGAATTTTATATAAAAAAAAAAAGAGGTCTACTTTTCCTGAAACCAGCCTTGCTCTTTCAAGACAGGTTCAAATACTTGTTTCGTAAGTACACTCTCCTTCAATCATCCTGATTTTCCAATTATCTCCTTCTATCTTTAAAATTCTACAACTTCTTCAGCCTTTCAAATAACAGATGATATACAAAAATCAAGGTATTCCACTAAAAATTCCCTAGTTTGAAAAGAATAATAAAGTGAAAAAAAAAAAAAAAAACTGCCCATAGAGATTTTAGTCAGCTGCATTTTTTTCACCTTATGTTATAGAATTTAAACTAAGATCACTAATGGTGGTGGGGTTCATGGTTGGCTAAAGGTGAATAAAATGTATCTACTTCAGATTTGAGGACTATGGCTTTTGTTACTTCTCACTGCTCCTCTTAGAACAACAAAATTATAAATAAAAATGGGCAAGTTCACCAGTTAGATTGTTGCCAGAGATGAGAATTGAGCTTAGCAATTTTTAATTTACCGCAGTTGAATATATGCACTATATTTTACATACAAACATACACACACACATAAAGCAGTTTTACAGAGAGATACTCTTAGGAGATTTCTTACCTCCCAGTTGACCAAAGCAGCATAGGTACATGCTCCACTGACAAAGTCACTTGGAACAGCACAGTCATAGTGCACAACAGCTGGACTAATGCAGCAGAGTAGAACTGTGTCATGATTCCAGTCAAGTTAGTACAGAGCTGGCTAGCTGCAAAGAAAAGTCGGAGCATATATTGAAACAAGCTGCATTTTCCGGTTTCACTGACATGATCTGGATCCAGCCAGGCTACTGGGCGAGGTTGCTCTATGGCAACAGTGTGATTTTTCAAAACATGGAATTCCTTAATTCAAAGATTAGAGCTTTAAATAATTATTACCTTTCATTTCATAGTTTAAGTGGTCCACTTAAATTGGTTTAAGTGGTAACTGAGTGCAGTGACAGAACAGATATTCCTCTGAAAAATTATTATTCCAGTGCATGTGAGATCTGTGAAATTCAAAAACCTGTTCTAAGACTTGATAATCACAGAATTACTCAACTTCAAAATGAAGTTTACAGAAAAGTTTTCTGTTTTGTACAAAATATTTTCTGCATAACTTCCCCTGCTATATATTATCATTTGCCTCAACTTAGTTCTTTTGCATGTATTGAAAGCTGATGTCACACATTTAGGTGTTGGCAGGTTTAAAATCTAAAATTTAAAAGTTTATGCATTGCTGCTTCCAGCAAGAAGAAAAACAGTGAGAAATTTTAAGTTTGGAATGTATCCACCAAAACATGGAATTATTCAACTATCTTTTGCATGGAAAGGTACTGACTCATAACCCAAAATTATCAGAAGTCAGGAGCAGATTATAATCACATAAGAACCTGACATGCCTTCAGTACTTCACAAGGCTTATACAAGATCAAAGTGATGTGGAATTTCTTCCTATCAGGAAATATACAGTTTCATGTTGAACACGGGGTATGGAAGCCTCTTTCTGATCATAACAAGATATAAGGCCGACACGAAAGAAATTGTTAGTGATATTGTAACAAGCTGAGATAAGTGAGAAATAAGGAAATACAATAAACACTGTAAGAGAAGATGTAAAGGAAGAGCAGGATGAATATTCACTTCTGAAGTTGAGCACAAGTGAAGTTCATTTGACATATGAAGTTCATTTGTTTTCATTCACAGTATCTTGTTACATCTCTGTAGTCTAATATAAGACAATTATTTCATTATTCCAATTTGAAATCAGTTTTCTGAGATTTGAAAAAAAAAAAAAAAAAAAAAAAAAAAAACTTGAGGAAAGGAATAAAACCAATGAGCCTTTTCTTCTTGCTATTACCACCAGGTAACTTCAGTTGAACTTTCCCTTTTCTCATCAGAGATATTTTAGAAACGCTCCATCTCCCTTTTCTCAAATGACTGTGCAAGATTTTGTTTGTTTGTTTACTTTTTGCTTAAGGAAACATGCAGATTAAACTACAATCCAGAGTATAAAGGACAGAGGGTAGAACTGGAATGCTCTAAGGAGAATTTAGTATAAATTGGAATAAATTGGTTGGTGCAGGGAAAGTTCTTTGTTAATACAAGAAATAGATGGACTTCTCCATGGTTAGAGGCTAGAAAATCAGAGATCCAGTTTCTCACATAGACATCTAGAATACTCTTGATGCTTTTTGCATGTACCTTCTGTCTACAAATTGTACTGTAATTGTTCCCATCTACTGCTTACAACTACTCTTCATTAAAAAAAAAAAAAAAAAAGACAACAAGAAAAACAGAAGAATTGAAGGTTGAATTGAAGGTCCAATAAACCAAGAATGCACAATGTGATTGTCCATTGAATCTAAAGAAATCATCAGAATTTTCAGCAGGACTTTCAGTTTTTCAATATGTGCTCAGTCTGCACTGCAGTTGCCAGTCTATAGAAATCGTACATTACTGCTACACTGTCTAAGATTGCAATAAACCCATGCCTTGTTAGGCTATGACTCTATAGACATGATGCATTTAGCTGACAGGATGCAAGGATTCTTACTTCGCAAAAAGGAAGACTAAAGAAGTGTATCTTACTATTCTCTATGATCCAATCAAAAGTAGGGTCTAGTGGATCTCCTCTACCAGTTGGTAAATACGACCAACACTTTATTGTGATCACACACTTTATTGTGTATATGACAATTTATTAAAATTAAAGTTATAATATTGACATACCCCACACTTACCTTCTATTTTGAAAGAATTTTGAAAACACTGAAATGAAGGAGACCTAAATTCTTTCACTTAAAAATGTTTTTCTTTAAAAAAGGGAAAAAAAAATCCCCTCAGCTTTGTAATTCTTCATTCCTGATGTACAAAAATCCAAATTTTAAAAAAGCATGAATGTCAGATTTCTGTGGGAGGAATATAAATTTAGAACTATAAGCTGGGCTAAAAGGGATGACTCTTACAACAAGGACATTTTACAGTGTGAGATAAGCAAAAAAGAATCTTCTACATGCAAGTAGAAAGAAAAAGTGACATCAATTTTTGCATGCAAATATGATGCTGGAGTCATAGGTTTAGGAGCTAACTCAGTACTACCTTCGTATATTAAAGAGTCTTATCACCCAGGTCAGACTTATTCAAATTTGTCTCTTTCCAGAAAATAAACAAAAATGAATTAATTCACAACTCAGATGACATTTTCTGTCTTGGCTATTACTAGTATTACTTCCTTCTGAAAAACAAGTATTTTCTAAAAGTGCCAAAGGTTGGTTGCCTAGCTTGCCTCACATTACTTAATTTTTAATTCTCTTTTATCATTGTTTACAAACACCTTTTGATATAAGAATGGAAATAATGCTTTGCTAGTTGGAATATCTTTTTGGGAGACAACTTTTTGGAGGCGCATAGTGATCACTCTGAGTTTCTCTCCCTTTGAGACATAAATAGTGGAATTTACAGTACAGAGGCTCCTCTTGGGAGAGGGAAGGCAAAATGTATGATCTTCTTTGACAAATTAACATATTATCCACTTGAGCTAGTAGGAGGACAGCTGGAGCTTTTCTCTCTGGAAATGGCTTAACAGTGGTGTTGGAGATGGGTGGTGTATAAATTTTGCTTCCCACTTTAAGAGTCCTGCTCATGAAAGATTCTTGTGAGGGAAGCTGCAGTTGAAAATTGGCCATGTGTCTCTACTAGTGCCAAAAAACAAAAGCCATGTGGACATCCTTGTTAGAGAGTATCTATGGGTTGGAAGTATTTTTGGAATGTGGACTCCTCATGGATTCAATATTTAAGCTATGATTTAAAAGACTTCATAAGCCTATCACTTTAGCTACTTCTGTGATGTGGGAATGTGAAAATTTCAACTTACAGTTTGTTCTTCTCTGAAGAGGCAGTGACAGTTTGCAACCATTTGATCACATCATCCAGGAAAAATCTAGACTCCAAAGCACAGGGTTTGTTTCCAATAAATTCCACAGTCATTTTGTGAATAACATTCTGAAATCCAAGCAAAGATAAACAGCTGTGCATTTAAAGAATTTAATCAATTCTCAAATAGGCTAGAAAACCTGATCCTCTATCTGAACATTTTATTTTTCTAGTAATATGCAATAACAGTTGAAAGTAAATCTGCCAAAGTCTTATATACACTAATATAGAAGCAAGAAAACTGTTTTACTCTCTATAGTGTCATGCTGTAAGACACTGAGAACATGATAAAATAGTCAAATAACATTATGTTATTGTCTACTGAAACTCAGATCATTCTTTGTCCTATTCTTGTCACAGGGTTTATACAAAAGGAAAAAAAAAGAATCTTTTTGAATCACAAAAAGGTACTACATGTGTCCTAGCTCCTACTCCGAAAGCTAAAAACATTCCAAAATATTAAAGTCAAATACCTTAAGAAATACTTTGTCCTATGAAGGTAATATAGTACTACTACTAATGCTAATTCTGGGGAACACTTACAATCTATAAGACTTGGAAACGTTGAGGATAATGATTATATCAAGGTCATTTTTTTTACTGATTTTTGAGTATACATTTTTCTTAAATATTAATGGAAAATAAGGCTCCTTTATAACAAGTCTTGAAGTTATCAAAGAAAAGCTGCTGTTTGCAAGAGATACCTGACCTTGAAAAGTTGTGTTACAGTTTTCACTTTACTTTGGTATTAGACCTTACCCAAGGAGATGCAACATCATCTAAAGGATGAGTTCCTGCAAGTTATAAACTGAAAAGCTCTGTTTCAAACCAGGCAGTTATTTGAAGTTTTCTTCAAAAATAATGAATATTCCTTTTATATTTCCTCTCTTGACACCTCAAATCGTTTAAGTCAAAGAATTCCAGCAGTGTTGCTACGAATACTGTACTACTTCGCCTGCATAAACATTTACTTACGGCTAATTAACTATCAAATACTTATAAAAGAAGAGAGACAAGTGCAGAAAGAGACTTTCTCAAAGTCACATCCTGTGAAATATGAGACTGTAGTTCAGGAGGAATGTAGCTCCTTTCTTAATACTTAATTTTAATACTTTGGCTATCATTTCCCTGAGTCTGTCCTGCTCAGCCCTTTATCCTTCTTCCACCTTTGCCTTCATTCACATTCTCCTCCATGTTTCCATTTCTAAAACCATCTTCCCCTGTTTCCTCATAATTCTGTTAACCTCTTTGGAGAAGATGATATGCTGAAAAATAATTGTGCAAACAACAAAAGAAGCTATGTTCATTTCAACACATGTACTTTTACAGCTAACAAACTTAAGAACTGGAAGTTATTGTCCCCTTCCTATTTGTTATGCTAGCATCTCTCCATGTCATGGGACTGAGTCTCCCTTATTTTGTAACCTATTTTCATGCTTAACTCGTGAGCTGGTTTCAATACTTCGTATTGTACAAGCTTGGAGATGGTAATGCTGAGAAGTGTAAACTTAACTTGTTTGGAGAGAAGCAGCTGCCTGTACAACAGGTGAACTTCACCCCAAGGGTGGGGTAGCTGTGGGTTCAATGACCTACAAGCACCTAGGAGACAGAAAAAGCTCAAAAAGGTTAGAACACAGCAAGGAAGATGTCAGCCCTCTACTCTCAAACCACTATTTTAATTTTTTATAGTACTTGCAACAGTAGGTGTAATTGCAACAGTAAGTGTAATTTCACAAATTCAGTGCTCACACGAATGCACAAAGCTTGAATAAGACAGATTTGCTTTTAACATTCTATTGAGCCATGTGTCAGATAAGCAGGATATCAAGATCTTTGAAATAAAAAGGGTGACATGGTAGAACAGGAAAAACTATGAGGTGTCTTTCAAAAGCCTTTGTGCTACCAACTGGAAGAGAAAAAATGTAAGAATTTGATAGTTTGAAAGCTTTGCTATTCACAGGGTTTTTGGTATGTTCAAATATGTTTGTTACTGGTCTGCAAATAGAGCACAATTCTCATTGACACAGATGAAATTTTCACATGTGAATAGCTGCTAAAAGCAGTAAAGTTTCAAAGTAGCAATTTAGGATCTATATTACACGCATGTTGTAGAATATGGATATTATTAAGCATATATGTGTATCATATAAATACACACTGATTTATAACATACTTCTCCTAGAAATATAATGTTTAATCAGGCTCCAATGTTCTCAGTCAACCTTTCCAGCACTTACCACTGCAATACAGAAGACTCCTTCATTCTTCGTAGTTCACACAGCATGTGCAGGACAAGCAGGGAACCAGGCCCAGTTAACATGGACTCATGATAGGCAGGTCCTGCCTGACCAATCTCATCTCCTTCTATGTCCACGTGACTCGCCCAGTGGATGAGGGAAGGGCTCTGGACATGGTCTGCTTAGACTTCAGTGAAGCCTTTGACACAGTCTCCTCCTGCCTTCTCCTGGAGAAGCTGGTAGCTCATGGCCTAGATAGGCAGACTCTTTGCTGTGGGAAGGACCGTCTGGATGGCCAGGCCCAGAGAGCGGTGGTGAAGGGCGTTAAACCCAGCTGGTGACTGGTCACGAGTTGTGTTTCCCAGAGGTCAGTGTTGGGGCTAGTTCTCTTTAATACCTTTATCAATGACCTATCGAGTGCACTGAGTGCACCCTCAGCAAGTTTGTAGAAGAAACCAAGCTGGGAGGAAAAGTTGATCTGCTTGAGGGTAGGATGGCTCTGCAGAGGGACTGGATTGATGGTCTGAGGCCAACTGTATGAAGTTCAACAAGGCCAAGTGTCACATCCTGTATTTCAGTCAAAACCCCATGCAGCAGCGCTACGAGCTTGGGGCAGAGTGACTGGAGAACTACACAGCAGAAAAGGATCTGGGAGTGCTGGTTGACAGCTGGCTGAACATGAGCCAGCCGTGTGTCCAGGTAGACAAAAAGGCCAATAGGCTCCTGGACTGTATCAGGAACAGGGTAGCCTGCAGGAACCAGGGAAGTGATTGTTCCCTGTACCCAGCGCTGTGGAGGCTGCACCTCAAACACTGTGTTCAGTTTTGGGCTTCTCACTACAAGAAAGACACCGAGTTCAGAGAAGGGCCACAAAGCTGGTGACAGGGAAGCACAGTCCTTGAGGTTATTTAATCTGGAGGAGGCTCAGGGGAGACCTTATCACTCTCTACAACTATGATCAGGAAAGGGCCTGAAGTTTAGTAGACATGGTGGTGATGGTTTTGGAGCTTGGCTTGATCTTGAAGGTCTTTTCCAGCCAAAATGAGTCTATGATTCTGCACATTCAATAAAGTTGCAAAATACACATTCAGAAAGTTGCAAGCTATTGTTGACTGCTTCAAACTTCCATCCTTGTTATTTCTAAAAACTGTAACTAAGAAAGAGCAGTGGCCTTTAAAGAAGGAAACATATTTAGCAGCAAACAGCCAGAGAATGTGGTGTATTTCTCGACAGCATATGTACCATATGCTCACTAGCAAACAATTGCTCTAATTTCAGAGAGAGTTTTTGTTATCTTTAATGGCACTCAGCTCCTCACTTTTAGCTCAATACCTGCAGAACTTGAAGCATAAGAGCAATCCCACTGACACTAGTTTTCCCATGATCTGAGTCTTAAGGTAGGAGTAGCTACTAGATTTGGCTTCTGTCAAATGAGTAAAATTTTTTTGAAGAAAAGCATGGGCTGAAGGCCAAATAGGACAGCATGAACTATGTAGGTAATAGTGTATCTCTGCACACTATTCCACTCGCTTGGAAGTTATCTTCCACTCTTAACTATGGTTGTCCAAAAAAAAAAAAAAAAAAAAAAAAGAAAAAGTACATTCCAAAGTACATGCCAAAGCCTGAAGGATGACTTTAGTAAGGATCTGGTTGAATCAAAAGTGAAAGGCCTCTAGCCCATACATTTCAATATCATGAGCACTTGGAGAAGCTTGAAATTCGTAGAATCATAGAGTAATTCAGGTTGGAAGGGACCAGAGGATTCCAAGCACCAGAGGCCATTTCTCTCTTGTACTCAAGATATCATGTAATACTTTTTTTGTAACTATAACCAAACACAAACTAAAGATGTTTAAAGAGAGAGCTGTCTTCTGCTGTAAGGACACAAAGTCTCCAAGAAATTAACAAGTTCAAAACAGACTACCTTGTGTATTTCAAATAATGACCCTGTTCTGCAATAATTTTAAGGTCTTCAATAAAATGAATATATGCTGGCAGTTCCATTATGACCAGTAGGGTCAGCCAAAAACGTAAAGTTATTCTTTTGCACAAATGTTTTCAAAACGAACCAAAAATATAGTGTATTACTTTTGTAAAAAAAATATATAATAATAATAATAATAATAATAATAATAATAATAATAAAGTGACACAGACTTAGCTACATTCCCTCAGCCGGAGTATTTTATGTTGCAGACAAAATGTTTCAAGCAACACAGGCACACGCAGATAGTCACTGCTGCAATATTTATTTGGAATTTAGAAAGCTTATCAATCATATTTTACTTTTAAATAAAGTAGCTGTAAAGTGTGAAATACAGTTATATTGACTGGTCAAGATAAAATTATTTTATCCTCACGAGTTTATTTTTATGTATGTAATGATTCAGGTATTGGTGGAAAAAAAAGATTTTTAAATAAAAAGACGTTAGGGAAATCATATTAATCAATAATACACTTAACTTGTAGAATAAGTCATGCTTTTGTACCAGAAATAGGCTTAGCTATTAAGCATTCATTTGTATCAGCCTGATCGCCACTCCTGTGCAGAAAGGATGCCATCTCTGGAATCTGAGCAAAGTATTTTTTTGCCTGGATATGCTTACGCTTTATTCTGTGAATAAATACAGCTTCATATGCCTGAAAGGAAAGGAAATGCAAATTGCATTAAACACGATTAAAATAGCTAGCAACGTATATCTTGCTTTATATTTTACACAGTTTAAATAGAGACTATATAATCATTATGTCATATGAGTTATTCATAAAAAGATACATAAGAAAATAAAATTTAGCTGTTCTATATTGGTACCTTTCAGCCCATTGCTAGAAACTACTGATCACTCCTTGTGAAATATTAGCCACATTTTAAAATCAAAACACCGGATATTTTCACCCATTCAAGGTAAGATGTATTAATACCTCCGCATATAAAGTCATTTTTCCTTGTGTTTAAAAAAGCAATGCTTAAATAACAGTATTTGTAAGGTGATGAGTATAAGAAATTTCCTTGATAACAGAGTGATTATTTATAAAAGAATCACAGCAGCATTTTCCAGCATTTCAGTTAGTCTATGCTTTCTCCAGTGATGTAACTTCCTAAATTTTTAAATTTTATTAGTAACTCAGAATACCTTATAAACAAAGTGATTAGTTAAAAAAGCAAAACTTGCTATCTCTATTGCCATCATTATTAGAAAGAACAACTATTAAAGGAATCAGTTAAGAAGCCATTTAATTTCAGTGAATGAAAGACAATGATCCAACTCATAACATTGCGTTTTTATTTTGTCTTATCTTGTCTTATCTTTGCTTATTTGATACTCATTTCTTGAAACCAAGCATATAAAGTTCAAGATTTAATCTACTTGTATTCACAGATGAAACTTATTCACTTTTTGCTTTACGCTATACTTGAATAACGTGAAAAAGCTGAAATACACACACTTTCCATATATTGTTTAAGTTTCATTATTTGGGAAGAACCCAATGCCAAAAAAGTTTCAAGCTCATCAAAAATATTTCAGTCAAGCAAAAATGAACCATTACTAGAAGCTATCATTCATATTTAAAACACGAGTGTAAATTCTAGACCTAATCAAGTTAATAGCATCTTTTGACTGTGACATCCAAGATAATTAAGTTAATCCAGATAAATGTTTAATCAGATCCTTTGCCAGCCAAAGAAGTGCTTTGCTCCACAATTCTGCTTCTAGGTTCCTGTTGCTTAAAGAGCTTTGCTGAGTGAAACTGAAAGGGAAGACTCAAGAAGGGAATTTCCAGGTTGAAGCAGATTTTTAATGCTCACAAACAGAGTAAAATTCTGCTTGAAAAAACAGTTCAGGTGCATATATATCATGGATGTCAGAATTCCATTTCTTTTTAGAATTCTGTGACCAGTTTATTTTGTCCCCAAAGCAAACCTTTCATTGACAGAGTAATTCATTTTCTCTGCCTGTTTAGTACTCGAATATTCTCTCAAGACTTCCAGAAAGATAGGTAATTAATGACAACAGAAATTGCATATGTAATACACACACATTCTGTTTGCAGCTGAATTAAGAACGGCCTAAACAAAAGGACACTACACAACAAAGACCTTGAATCACTTTGATAAATCAGTAACCTGAGGAGAAAGGTTTAGTAATCCATTACTAAAAGCAGTTCACAGGATTCACTTGTACCTTAGAAAGCTTGAGAGGGGATCTGATTAATATATGAATGCAGGGAGGAAGGGGCCTACATGAATGTAGGGAGGAAGGGGCCAAGCTCTTCTCAGTGGTGGCCAGTGACAGGACAAGGGATAATGGACACAAGTTGAAACACAGGCAGTTCCATCTCCATGTGAGGAGGAACTTCTTTGCTGTGAGGGTGACAGAGCCCTGGAACAGGCTGCCTGGGGAGGCTGTGGAGTCTCCTTCTCTGGAGATCTTCCAAACCCACCTGGATGCCGCCCTGTGCCCCATGCTCTGGGTGTCCCTGCAGGAGCAGGGGGTTGGACTAGATGATCTGTAGAGGTCCCTTCCAACCTCAACCGTTCTGGGATTCTGTGTGATTCTGTGAAAGCTAAATATTCTACCCTATCATTTGCACTGGAGTGAGATATTTACTGGACTATCGTATCTAGATAGAGGGCTTCTCTAACATTTTTTTTCAGTTATTCCAACTGGGAACAGCACCTTTTTGGAGACAATTTTTACTGTCCCCATACAAATTATAAGATTATACCTTCACTGAAATGACATCCCTGTAAGGTAAATTTAGTCAGTTTTTAAAATTACAAATGTTTAAACTGTAAACAAAGAGCTATATATAACCACTCTGTTATTTAATGCCAAATTTATACTAGTAAACTAATTAGGAACAGAGTATGTGTGAAATCACAAACATACAACTGTCCTGTAGTTTATGGCTAATGGTTTTCATCCAGGGCAAATGCTTCTGAGAACAGCTGAGGGAACAGCACAGGCATGGGACTGTCCTCAGTAAGCAGCAGCGCAGATGAGATCACTTAGATTTTGTATTTCTGGAGAAAAAAGTAGGGCAGGACAGAGCCTTGCCCAGAGGAACAGGCATGTGAGGTCCTTTGTGCCAACTACCCTCTGGATTAATGTCTGTTTTATTTAATTATGCAGATGCATTGTTTAAATGGTCACAGTAGGCCACTGTAAACATGAATGGGTACAAGGAATCTGTAATTTGACCAAATATCATTGGATTACTTAAAATATAAATATCTTTAAAACAATTACCTCCTGAAGGTTGCACAGTTTAAGATGTGCATCTGCCTCATCTTTAGTCAGCAGAATAGTGTTCCATGGAGACCACTCATGGTGCTTATCCCATCTGGCCATAACCAAATCATAGAGGTCATCACAGGCACTAAGAGCTGACTGACAGTCCCATATTTTCTCAACCATGTACTGCATATCTTCTTGCTGAAATTGAAAACAGTGTTGAGAAAGAAGCATGTTTAATTCTAAAGGAAAGTCTTATAACCGTGTAAGCATCCAAAAAAGCTGCAAACTTTCTGTGCGTGAAACACTGTTCTATGCATATGCCATATATATCACTTGATTAACCAATGTCTAGATATACAGCACATTTTCTTTTAGTGTGGTGTGGCACTTAAGCATTTATTTTCATGTTAGTCAATAAATGAATTATCACTATGTGCTAAATTATGGTAAATTTACACATAATCAGAATAATTTTGTCTGGAAAACATGGGAAATTAAGATGACAAAATTCCCAATCCGTGACTCACTCTAAATCACTGCCTACTTTGCTTCCTTCTCCCTCTGCCTACGTAGAGTTTATAATGCACATGATACTGTTATGCATTTGACTTAATGAAGTTGTAACGTCACATAGTTATGAAACCAGATGAAGAAGCACAGCGGAAGGCCTCCTCTAGTGCAGAAAGGTGAACAGATGCATTTTCCACATTGTTTAGGGTTAATTTAATTTACTGCTACCCCTCTGAAATCACTGCTAACTGTCAATAAAAGGTGCCTCTTGAGTGAACAAAGTAAAATATTTTGAGTCATGAACAGCCACCAAGTTGTTAAATCTCTGAAAAAGTTCAAATAAATCTGGACTAAAGTCTCTAAATTAAGTTTAGTCTCTAAACTTAATTAAATTAAGTCTCTAAATCTCTCACTATAGTCTCTAAATTTGAATATTTTTAATAAGCAATATTTTGCAATTACCTCAGAGTTTAAAACCTGTTAAAATGTTTTGTTAACAAAATAAAATTTAAATTAAATTAAAGAGAACTAAGGAGAAAATTTGCTGAGGACAGAAGCAAGTTCTCTGAAATGAGAACCTAAGAAACATTAGCTACATAACAGTAATGCATTAAGATTAGATGAATACACATGATGGTGAATAATTTATACAATTAAAATAATTAATGATTCTCACCCCTAATGAAGGCAAAGCAGAAGCAGCTCTAAACATATAAATATACTAACATTGAACAAGAATGTCAAAACTTGAGCTTCTTCATTTCTGCCTTCTGAAAACAGAACAATATAGACATTTTACTATGGCAAATTCTCATCTATGGTCTATAAATATTTTAAGAACATCTCTTGAATGGCATTTTAGTGATGCAAACATTATTGTAGCTTTAATGAGGATGCCAGTGTCTTCAAGCAACAACATGGACACTGCAAAACTAGAAAAATAATTCTTAGCATCTGACTGAACAATCTACCAGATAGACTTCCACTTTCTTTTACTATATTGCTTATAATCACTTTTGAAAGCACAGCTATACTTGCAGAATTTGAGAGCTTTCACACCACAGGAAGAAGTTTTGTACCGTTTATTTAGCCAATCTCTCTTAAGACAAATATACATTAAAAAAAAAAAAAGGAAAAAATATAACCAAAACCACTTGCTTTCATTACCAGCAATGTTCTTTCAGACAGTACCTGAATTAAGTAAACAATTTTGGCATCATCCTCATAATCAGCTTCAGATTCTCTGAGATTTTTTAGCATAAGTCTGTACTTGAGAAAAGCTTCTCGCTTGCGAGCCTCGTTGTCGACCTGGCAGCACAAACGGCACCTGCCAACGGTGCGCGAACTCGCAGGGACCGCAAACTCGGAAGACGCCAGGTAATTTCTGCAGCTCCGGCAGAAGTTAACGTTTTTATAAAGCTGTAAGGGATCTGGTGGAACCTAGAAGATTTTTTTTAAAAAAAGGTCCATTTATTACAGAATATCTGACTATTACACGTGTGTAACCCTAAGAGTATCAAGAATACCTTTTACATATTTTTTCCAAATAGTCTAATATTTAAATGTTAGTGATATTTATTTTAAAATACCCAGTATATACTCTTTTTAAGCAAGACCAAAAGCAAACTTGTCTTCTTATTATACTTGTTAAAAGCAGTCATATAAATCATTCCCTTCGTTCATGAAATATATAAAGACCTCAAACATTCTCACCCAGTGCTATTGCTGGCACATCTCATAGAATCCTTAAGGTTGGAAGGGACCTCCAGGGATCATCTGGTCCAACCCCCCTGCACACACAGGGTCACCTACAGCATGCTACACGTTTATGTATGCAGATGATCATCCACTTCTTTGCTTTCTGTATATTGTTATCTATCTGTATATTCTCTTAGCTTTGCTTATTTTTCAGGGTATTTTTTTCCTTTAGAATCTGTCCTTAATAACAAAACAACGATATTTGGACGTATTTTCACATAAGGACATAAAAACAGCAGAGCTATTTGTCAGGAAAAAAATGAGGGAAAGGTAATAATCTAAACCTGTTAACAACCTCTTCAACTCTCCCCTCATGTGGTTTGTGAGGAATACAATACAACCTATGAGGAAGGCCTCTGGCCCATACTGGAAGTTTTAAAAGGTCTGACAATTCATCCATCTATTGTGGTCATTTATCCTTTCTGAGAGTAACCTGGGGCTTTTGGGACCCTCTCTTGGGCTCTGTCCATGAACTGCATCATTTTTTACATTTTTGTCAGTACAACTGGTTAGTAAAAAGGTTATTGGATTCTAATACAGGTGAAACTCAACATTGAATTTGAAGTCCAATCAGCCAAAAGCTACGGAAGACAAAGTCTCTGTTGTGACTCATCCAGGTCATATGGTACCTAAACCTAGATGATATAAAATCATTTTGTTGTTTCCAAATCCCAATATCATTTACTTGGCCTCTATTCCTGAGATGCCATTGAAAACAATAGGGGGGGGATCCTCTGCTGATCAATGCAGAATGCATAAATGCTGCCTAAAGCAGCCACACTGTATTATATTTTTCATGTAGTTTGTAGTCAGACAAGAAAAAAAATATATATTTTTAAAAACAGTTGCCCACTAGTAGGTCCCTTCATACCAACATGTGCTTTTCATGAAGTAGCAATGGGCTGCACAATATTGCTTGTACGAGCAACCTCTGCTCAGGTGCAAGTTCACTGCCTGTCTCTGACAGTGGCCACGTGCCTCCTCTGTGGCTCACGGGATGCTGCCCCCTTCCAGTGGGGAAGAACAAATGTGCAGTTTTTCTGAGTATATCAATTTCGCTACATCTCTGCATTGTCCCCCCTCTAGCTCTTTACCCATATGATACTGTAAAGCCCTTCCCATTTACACATGTCAGATTTGCTATTTCATACCTACAGTTGCTGCAGTGCTAATGTTAGTGTAATGTTAGTACTACCGCTGAGTCCAGCCCCTGCTCCCCAAGCAGGTAGCTAACTGAGTGAGATGCATTTTCTCACAACATTTTACTTCTTAAGGAAGATCTTCTGCAATCTACAGTAAAACCTCTTAGCAAATAAAATAAAAAGCATTCATTCTTTCCCATTCCCCTTCTCTGTTTTTAGTTTACTGGCCCCTCTGTCAGATTGCATAACAGAAATATACCTTAAGTATTCTAGCAACTTCAGGGTTAAACTTTGGAGTTTTAATATACTGTAGAAATAGCGTACAAATCCTTTTCCTCAGTCCTTCTAAGTTGCATTCTTTCACATCTCTCATCATAAGATCGACTTCCCTGTCAATCAATTCTACTATTTCCTGTGTTAATTTACAATCGTGTTCCTGAAAGACAGCACAGAAAGAAAAAGTACATCAGTAAGAAATTATACAAAAAAAATGCAGATATGAAAACAGATGGATTTTATGACATTTACCTTTTTGTATGTTCACAAACAACAACAACAAACAATACAGACACACAAAAAGACCCTTTAATATCTTAGAAATATTATGTTTCATGTCCAAAACAGGACAATTTTAGACTTCTACTCAAATTTCATAAATTTCATGTGTGGTCATTCTATCTAGTCTAATAAAACAAAATCTTATTACTTTAAGAATTGATATATTTTTCTAAACAGTTTCATTCTTCTTGGAGAACCAATATTAATCATCTAAGGAATCATTTTTTTCAAGTTTTTCATTTAATACTTCCATTTACAGAGACCTGCTTAATGTCTTTTTTTTTTATAAATAACTTCTGAGAAAACAACATCCAAGAAAACTAACATAAATAGATTAAAAAAAAAAAAACGAAAAAAAAAAAGAGAATGCTTACAGATTCTGCTTTCAACTGGCAGGACTGTGGCTGTAAAAGCCTGAATCAAAGATGTGAGAAACTGTAAATCTGGAGACACAGGACATATGTAAAAATTTCAGCTTTTAGTATCTCTCAAGCATCTCCCTACAAAGTTTCACTTGAGAATGCAGTAGGAGGTATAAAAAATACACATAGTAGGTAGGTTAAAAAAAAAATCACAACAGTCATGGGGGACTTGATGATCATGTTAGGGAATTAATAACTTCAATATTTCAAATGCTTAAAAAGAGATTCTCTAAATATAGATCACAAGTGAATGACAATGAGTTCAGTGTTTATTTACCTAAAATAAAACACTAATTTACAGAAATTTGTTCACTACAGTAATATTGAGTCTCTTCAAGATGGGCAGAAGCTCATTAACTATCAACATTCCCATTGCTGTACTGAATTTAGACTGAATGGTTGCCAAAAACAACCATCAAGTATTTATGTGTTTTGGTAAGACCACGAAGCTGCATCTTATTTTGATGCCAACAGCATCCTGAAAGTATTTTATATTTTATCATATTCTTATCTTTGAGCATGAATAAGAAGCTAAAACAAAATATTAGAAGACATGCTGCCAGCTGCTATTTCATGTGAACACTGGTAGTAGTATTTGGGGTAGAAGAGTGTGGATAGTCGTGGAGGGCACCAGTACTTCCAACTGTAACAGTGACAAAAACAAACAAGATTCTTAAAAGGTAGTTTAAAGACTTAAGAAAAATAACCAAAACAACAACAAACAAAGTCATTAAAATCTCTTTTATGGATTTTATCAAGTTGTCATAAATATTAAACTTTATGTTGAAATTACTACATGTTAATTACACACACAAAAAAAGGCTAAAACAGTGGGTTTATAACACTTACAACAAAATAACACAATTTGAAGAAAAAAAGACACACATCACACGAGGTGCAACATGAAATTAGAGCATATCTGGCATGTAACAGCTACTCTCTCATGCCAGGTGGTGCATCAGGCTTTCTCTCTTGTTGCCAATTGATGATTCTGGCACCTGTTTGCCAGGCGAAGCACTGCTTATGTGTCAACATAATTAAGTGCCTGCATCTCTGGGTATGGAAAGTACAGCTTCAAGCTAAACAAACAAACTGAAAAATAAAGCATACCTTCACTGTACGCCTGAGCGTTAGCAGCACGTCTATTCTCTCCTCTTTGGGGATTTCGTTCATGCTGATGCTGCGGTAGATTTCAAGGAGCTCTCTGGCACGGAGCGTGTGCTGTGTATCCATTTCCGTGATTTTTCCATCAAATGCTTTCCATCTCTTCGGCTCTGCACACTTCAGAAACAATTTGTATCACTCTGAGTTATAATGATCTGATCACCAGCTGAGCAAGTAAATTATGTTACATCAAGTTTCACCAGAGCAAACAAGGACTTAACTCTAATGGTCGGCTAATATGAAAGGGCAATTCTACTTTTGATATTTCTACAGTACCTCCTTCTACCAGAACAAGCACTGCATTGCACCACTTATTTAAAGTTTCAGGTCTTGAAAATTTTAGCATAGGATATATTAAAAATAAGTAATATTCTCCTCTAGGAATATGGTCTTCAAAATGAGCAGAATGATGGTGCTCCGTATTTCACCTTGGAGTCTGAACTATCACTAAACTCAGTGGGAGTATTGACTTTGCAAAGATTGCAAACTTAAGCCCTCAAACCCTATGGTGGTTTTAAGTGGAGCTGTTTGATTTGAGATACATGAGCCATACAGATGGACAAAATGCCCAGACTTAGATAAAGCTGACTAAGGTATGACATGAGTTCACAGCTTTTCAGACACTTCAGCAGCTCCTTGTTTGCAGGGTTGCTATACAGCCCGTGCCTACTACTGCATTTCTCCTTTTGCACATCACAGTCAGATGCTCTGATTTAACTGGCTATCCCAGCAGATGCACTGCTGGAAAGTGACTTCTATTTCAAAGTCATTAAAGTCATTTAACAAAAACTAGAAATCATCAAATGGGCTGAATCCAGGATGCTTCTTTCCTTGGGCATCTTCTCCTTGTGCTCTCTTGATGAACAGAAAGGATAAGAAACACAATCTCCAGTCACAGCAGAGTCAGCTTCCCCTAGCTAACAAACCTTGTGAACACAGAGGTTAACTAGACTGCACAAATACAATTGAAAACATGTTAGTATACTTGCCCAGATAGATGTAGATTTAGATCTCAGAAAAAAACTAACTGAAATGGATGAGAAATTCCTTTTGTGTGTGTGCTGAAGACTACTGGCAGCTTTTTCATTCTATAACGACGTTTCAGACCCTATATTGCTTAAGTGTTTATCTGGCAGGCTCTATTAGGACAACTTAAGTTTATGGCAATGTTTTTGTACAGCCTGAAGCAAACATTGCACAAAATTTTGATAGAGACAAATGACATATATTCTCATATATTCTCAATATATTCTCATCTTATTATGGGGGTACCAGAGCAATGAAGAGCTCCCAGACTGCTTGCCAATTATTTGCACTTTTATTTCTTCCAGCTATAGACACTAAGTAATCACTTCTAAGCTTAAAAGTGAAACATTAAATCATCTTTATACAAATGTATCCTCATTATTGGTTTTATAGATGAAAAGATTGAAATACATTACATCCCTCAAATCATAAAAGAATAAAATTTCAAACTAAAATTCCAGTCCCAATGAAACCAGTCAATTTAGCTCCTTGGTTTAATAGGATAAGATGCAGTCAATGGTCTTTTGATTTTCTAACCTATACATGAACATAGAAAAAATACTTATTTTTAAGAGAAACAAATGGTAAACCTAGGCTGAATGAGGGAATTAATGATGAATATATCTCCTATATGATAATATTATGTAAGGAAAAAAAATCATCAATCTATTCTTCAGGGTTAAATTTTAATATTTCAAGCATTTAAAGTCACATTTAAGTGCATTAATAATTAAAATGCAATATCATTTTTTTTTTTATAGAGAGAAATGAACATCACTTGGTCCTTAGTTTTGAATAGTGAAACAAGGTATTTCTGAGAGAAAAGAAAGCTGATTGGCAGCTTTTTAAAGTTTCAAAAAACAGATTAAGAATAAACATAGCTTAAGTTCCATGCATGGATTCCTAAATCATAATTTGCACAATACAAAATGGGCAATGGTATTATTGATATGCTTACAATATCAAATTAGCATTTACAATTTTGTTATAATTTGAACCTTTAGTGCTGATGACAGTGCCATCAGAATCACATGGAATTGTGCACAGCAGTTACACAACACACAATGATCTACTCAGTGCCAATTTTTGTATTAGGTATATAACTAGTTGTGTCTATGCTAAAACTCAGATGACACCCTTAATGATACATTGTTCTTAGCTTTCTTTGATAATCTGTCACAGAGACAGAAAATTCTCAGCTTGGAAAAAAAAAAACAACTGAATTTGTATTGTGATCACTGAACTGCATGGACATAAATAAAATCAAATAATTAAACTTTAGATAAATTTTTCACTCACTTGCTTAACTGGTAAAGCTAAATGAGAGACTTTTGTCAGAGAGCTGGCATATGTCTGCTGTATTCCTATACTTTGGTATTATGTTCAGCCTAGAACGACTTCACTGACCTTACCCAGGAAGCGCAGAATTGTTTTTTGTCGATTCTCCTCATCGGTGTCTAGTTTGTACCTGCCAATGGAAGCAATCAACTTCGCCTCTTGTTCCAGAAGTCCACAAAGGGCTGCCTTCCTTTGGGTTCCAGTAAGACTTTTGTTAATCCGTTCAGTCTCCTCCTGCCTCCATACTATGGATAAAATATATTCGGTATTTTTTAGCAAGAGTTTTTTTTCAAATGAAATTTCTACTTTCATATTTAAGAAATTAACTATTTTTCTGTATTAATACAAAAGCCATATTGCATATTGAGAGATTATTATGCATATTCTCAACAGACAAAAAATGGCACAGAAATTAATTTCCAATAGATCGTTATTCTGTTAAGGGTGTGTTTGTGCACAGCAACGGCAAACTGTCAATTCATGCTGCAACCTCAGGAATGGGATACAAGAATTAAAAATGAAATCTGTATGTGAGATGGAAGAACTTAGTTTTTGGATATGAGTGCTGAAATGATTTCTTCATGATTTTTCATCAGAAACATCTGTTTCAGCTTTAAACAGCCCTAAAGGGTATAAAAATTATGTTCTTAATGATAGCTAAACAATACCATTAACAAGTATTCAAGAAAAGATCTCAACCAATTAAGAACAGTGTCTTACTGTGGCACCACAAAAATTCGGTGCTTAGAATACTACTGTTTTCCCCTGCATAAAGTATCAAAGTCTCAAGAAAGTTGAAATCATCTGAAATTAACATTAAAACTAACTTAGACAGTCAATTTTAGCACACAAGGTCATAAAATGAGTGTTTCTGTAGCATCATCTCTTGGCATCCAAGTAGTTAGCAGCTTTCCTTTGGCTTTCCTTTTCTGCTAGTGAGTCCTTCAAGTGACGGGAAGTGACAAGCAAATTAAACAATAATCATGTCAGCAGCACACGAGTCAGCACATGCTGTAAACTCTGGCATTCTGGCTTTTTTTTTAATTCTCTTTCTCCTTCCTTGGAGCCAGGTGGGAGCAAGGTGCTGGGGAGAAGGGATTTTGTAAGATCTAAAGTTTTACATTCCTGAATCTTATCTCGAAGTGTCATTGCTGTTTCTGAACAGTTATACAAGAACAAGGCACAGTGCAAAGAAAACAAGAAAGAAACAGCAGGGGCAAAGGGAGGGTTAGAGGGGGAATGTTTATTTTCTGCCTTTGCTTTCTTATCTTCAATACCTTATGTTTTCCATTTTTAAGTATTTCTGTTCCTTTCCTTGAGGCTTTCCAAACTATGGAATTCATATGACTGCTGCCTGACGTTCTGAGTACCCCAAGATATTTTCAAATAAAACCAGTTTAGCAAACATCAGCGCTGCATAAAATGACTTACAGGAAGCTTTATATGCCTGAAGGGGGCAGCGATTTCAAAGGCAAAGCTAATAAATAAACAACTTTGTTCCTATAGAAATGAAGAGTCACTCAAACACAGTTATCATCCATATTCATCTATCAGTTGAGCATATATATACAATCAGGCTGGTTATAGTCCTCTTATATTGCCTATTTTATAGGCTTGCAGTTTTTATTCATTATAATTTATATTGCAGTTTTTATAACACATATAAATAAAATAGGTGATGCTTTTAAACATAAATAATCAACGTCCCTAGACGCAGACACATTGATGTGTTGATGATATATCTCATTTACACCACACAGTCAACAGGCAGGTTCTTGTGCCAAAAAGCAATTGCTTGTACTGCCTGACCCTGTAATAGTATCCCCCTGTTGTGATCAGCAGCAATACCCTTCACAGCTCTCCAGAGGACAATAATCTCATTCTATTAGTGTCACAATGATTTAGCTTGTATAGACTGTTGACACTATAGGAATGCCAAAGTAGCTTTCAGCTGCAGGTAGGGAAAAAATGTTTATCAGTACGATATCAAAAGATAAAAAAATAGATAAAAAGATAAAAAAAGGATAAAAAAAAAAAGATATTAAAAAAAATCAGTAAGTTCCGTTATAATAAAGCACATGACTGCGAATGTCCATATGGAGAAGCAACTAGTCAGCTAGCAAAAAGAAAAACAAAGATTGTTATCAAATCATTATATGAAAAAATACGGAAAAAAAAAGTTGAAAAAAACCCACAGTGTGACAAAGACATTTCAAATACCAGAGTTTGTTCTTTCACTTCTTTAGAACTGGCACGTGCTTCTCAGGTTGACCATGAGATATTAAATTTATGAATATTCAAAGAGTTTTGCTATTTGTGAATCCAATGGTATTTTGCTAAGCAAGAGAGGCACTCATAAAACTACAAGTTTCATATCTAAAAATATGAGTAAAGTCAGGCTTGATCACAAGTTCATTTTGTTGATTCTACTGCAAATAAGGTTGTTGATTAAAATAAATAAAGATAACCATGCAGTGGATAGAACATTAACCAGAAAGCAGTTTTCTAAACAAAACACTAGATCAACAAAACAAAACAGATCCCAAATAATAGGGCCTGCAATAAATAGAGAGCAAAAAATGGTGAACTGAGTACTTCAGATTTTGATTCTGTACTTGTAAAAGAGCTTGACTCTTAAGAAACTAGCAAAAAAAAGCCTAGACATCTCTAAAAGAAAAAATGGGAAAAAAAAACACAGAAAAAAAAAGAAAAAACAAAAAAAAAAGGAAAGGGGAAAAAGGAGTAAAAAAGATCTCATGAAAAAACTATTTCCAGGCTCAAAAGGGAACCAATAAAAATGTAAATTTGTCATGAAAAATAAAAATATTGTAAAGTTATTTATACTTTCAAATAATTGAAGTTGAATTTAAAGTGATTTGTTCAAGGCCACACAAAATCTGACAGAATTAAAAGATTAGGATATAATTTGGAAATTTTTGCATTATGATCTTAAGGCCTCTGAATAAGAAACTGTTGCCTCCACCACAGCACAGCCCACCAGGTTTATGGTCAGTTTATCATGGAAGAAAGAGCTCTAACAGTCTCTGCAAGAGGCAGATGTTCCGTTCTGCCAGATGTGCACCAGGCACATGATCTCCAGCAACCACTGCCTAAGAGTTAGGCTCTAAACAAGCACTTAGCCAGCCTTAAGCAACGTGCTCTGCTACCAACTACCTTGTTTACGAAGATATTTTTGAAAGAACTGCTGTAGTTTTATTATATGCTGGTATAAGCTTATTGCTTTCTACTGGTTTTCATTTTTCTTTATCCAAAAAAGGATCAGACTTTTTTTGCTCCTGTTGTTGTATTTGCAAAGTCATTCTCCTGTTAGTTCTCAGACCAATTATCTGCAGTATTCACATTACTTTGCCAGTAAAGGTTAGAGCTGCTTGTCTACATTAGACACATTTCACTTCGGTAAAAGAAGTAATTCTGTGAGGATGCCCTGTAAGACTGACAATGGCTTAGTGAACCATGAAATAAAGAAAATGGGAGGAAAAGGAAAACAGCAGGAGAAAAGACCTACAGACAAAAGAGCATTAGCTATCTCTTGTAAGATTCTGGGTAATAAATTAATTCATTATAAAAACTGCACATTAGATAGACCTTAACATTGAATTCTTTACGGCATTATTTTCAACTACTTAAATGTGCCAGATATATTTCAATCTTATTGATCTACAAAAGAAAAAATTTCTCTCTTCTGTTCTTAAGAATAGAGATGAAAAAGAAAATAATAAAACTGCCAAATCGCACAACTATCAGCATCACTCTGTAAGTTGATTATTTCCTAACAAGGCTTCTAGAACATTAAATATATTCTTTAGAAATGAAATTTTTCTATCAAAGACATTAAAGTAGCTACAGAACCATAAAAGCAGGAAAGATTTGTTTTAAACAAAATATACCATTTTCAACAAAATATTGCTCATTTGGGAGCACCTCTAAGAAAAAACTTACCTTCTAATGCACGGTAAAGTAGCTCGTAGTCTTCTTTTGTTCTGGGATTCAGTTTCCGCCTGTACTCACTTTGCAGCTTTTCTTCTTTCTCTTTTTTTTTCCTTAACTCGTCTTGTGCCTCCCATTCCAGCCTTAACCTCTTTTTTTCCCTCAGATTTTGTACTAAATTTATAGCATGCCAGCGACGGAAGTAGGTCTGCAATACTATTACCTACAGGTGATACAATGCATAAGAATCATCAATCCAAAACACAACAGTTTAGAACAAAAGTGTTATGCTATTTACATTATTTTTTTCTAGCTAATTAACTAGATTTTCTAATGCTTCTATTGTATGCAAGCTTTTTTTTTTAATAAAAACAGTCACATTGCATTTTGCTTGTAGGCACATAGTGAACATGATACAAACAAGGCTGTTAGGAAACACAGACCTTTCACAAACCTTCCCAGGTTTTGCCTACTAAAGATGAAGGAAGTGTCTCTACTGTACTAGGGAGAACCTAGTTCTAAAGTGGGCCTAAAGCTCTCACCGAGCAGGTCGGCACCTGAACCACAGGCAGCAGATCAATGAAACTATCCCACCTCAGCAGCTGAGGAAATGAATGCACAGGCAGGTAGATTCAGAGTGCCTATTTTAAGCATCCAATTAACTAAAAACATTTAAGAAGCAAGTGCCAAGTCCAACATGCTGATTTGGAGTACTTAAGTTACACGTGCAATCACTGAATAGAGAGTTACCAAACAGCAATTCAAAACAAAATGCTGAAATGGCAGACTCTGCACCCTGACTGCACAGGGAGCCTTCATGAAACAGTTCGATGCCCCAAAGGACCCTGATCAAAAAGCAGACAAAGTGTTTTAACAGGCAAGTTCTACCTTCATGTAAAAGATGATGGTCTGCAATTTATCAAAAATGAACCATTTTGCCAAATATCACCCACTGGGCCTATTAAACCTCAGAAGTTGAATCCCGGTCTCCTAAATGTTCATCTATTGCTCTATCTATATGAGGTCATTCATGGCATTACGCATGTAAATTTTACTTTAAATTTATAGTTTCTCATATTTAAAAACTTACAACTGGTTTATGCCTCCTACATGTTGCAAACAAAAGTAGACATTTTAAACTTTAAGCAGGCTTTACAGATACAATTTCAAACTGCTACGAACTTACTGCTTCCAGTCTACGTTTATGATATTCATCTGCTGTAATGTATTTCCCAGGTCTCATTATTCTGTCAGTCATGTTTGACACATAAAGACCAATTTTAGTCATCTGCGTGGATGTTGTATTTATTGTTTGTTGGAGTTTATTTTTTTCGAAAACAGTCTGGGAAAAAAAACGCATGTCAAGTAGTAAATACATACACAGGTTCTTTCTTTCTCATTGCAATAAGGGCTAAAATTAACTACTCATAATGAAACCACAAGGACTAATGATATTCATCTGTTAAATGTACACTCAAGTACAAACTTATTTCTCATTTAATGCTTCATTCCTATTTGAAATAATTATGTTGACATTCTATTCAATTTGGCAAAAACATTCTAAATGAAGCGCTTTAAACATATTACCTGTGTTTCCCTACAAAATACTTCAATCCCTTTGTCAGGTCGTTTTTTGGGTAGTGTTTGTGAGCCTGCATTGTGAAATTCCACTCCTGTTATCCTATGTTTAAATCCACCCAGAAATGGTTTATGATAGGTTGGCCTTTCTATTTTTACAGTTAAATCTTGAAATGAATCACAATCTGTTAAAACGGAAGTTACAAGATCAAAATATTATTTAAGTAACAAGTTGAGTTAACATACAGTATAGCAGTACACATTTAAACACACTATTTACCTGTTTGTACTCTGACAGTTATTACGTCAGGCATGTGGTATTCACGTTGAATCACCTTCCTAGAAAAATGTGCTGGATGAAGACATAATGCCTCCGTCTGGAAAATTTCAGGAAATTCTGCCTCAGGTCCTGTAGGATTTTCATTATCCTCAATCAAACTTCCTAAAAAAAAAAAAAAGAAATGATGTTCTTCTCAAAGCAAATAAATTCAGTAATGAGTCTACCTTAAGACGATTTTATTGAAACACTGCAACACAATAATGAATTCCTAAGCTGTAGCAGTTACACAAACACTGGAAATTATGTATAATACTGTCACTAAAGCAATTCATATTATACCAACCAATTTGCAAATAAATATTTTTAAGTCAAAGTTATTATTCACTCAATGCAGTAAGTATTTTTTGGAAATCTGACCCAAACCTGCTCCAGTTGAGACCTGATCTAATGGGTGAAGGAACGCGCTCTCATGTGCGGTACCTGACTCACTGGGGCTTATTGAAGGACAATATGCTGAACTGGAAGACTTGAAGCTTCGGAAGTTGTTTTGCAAGTAACTTTTCAGGTCGAAAGCACAGAAAACAGGAAAGCGGCAGGTGAATTACAGGAGCCACTAGAGATTTAAAATGCTGAAATGTTTGCCAAGATCCAGTCCAAATTGTTACCTCAGAGCCCATACACTTCCATGTATTTCACACTGCTATTTTTAAAGTACACGTGCAAGACACAGATGCATACTCGTGCACCTTTTCAGAAGCAAAGATCACTTTATGAAATGCCATTCTCCCGTCCATATGCTGCTCCACAACTTCAAGTAGGTATATTCCACACCTCAAGTTGTGTTTTTCTATGGCCATTTTCAGAGTCACCTTAAGATGAAAAATACACAAACCAGAACTGAATGGCAGGGGGAAGGCAGCAAGAAGCCACAGCCAAGTTGATGGGAAAACAAAACAACCCTTGTAGAGCAGAAGTGTTCGGTGTTTGACAAACTTTTTACCTGTTGCCGTGTCACTCGCTGCATCCTGTGACCGCGCTGAGCCTCGGGATGTTTGCTGCTCCTTTTCTAAGGGTGTTAACTCGGGACAAGGGGCAGAGGCGAGGCTGGGGGCGGCGCGGGGCTCAACGCCCGCTTGCTCCGCGCTCTCCGGCAGCTCCGCTCCGCGCCCCGGGCCCTGCGCCACCAGCGGCGGGGGCTCCGCGCCGGCCTCCCCTTGGGCCTTTCCCGAGGGCCCGGCGCTCGCTGCCCGGCCGCCATCGCGAGGCTCCTCTGTCTGGGGGGTCTCCGCGGGCTGCTCTGCGCCTGATGGTTCCGTTTCATCTACCTTGCTGCGGCTGCCTGGGGGATCTTCCATTCCCACCTCACCGCCTGCACATGGCTAAGCTCTCAGCAAGAACCAGCACTTCTGCAACGCGCCACGGACCCCAGGGGGCACTTTTTTACACCCGTTCCCCAAGAGGCTGCTGGGGGCGGCTGGGGCCCTACTCTGTACCCCAGGCATCAAGCGGGGGCCGCGGGGGCCTGGAGGCGGCGGCTGCGGCGGCCCGGTGGCCATAGCAACGCGGCGCCTCGCGGGAGCCGGCGGCGCGTGCGCACTGCGGCGCGGCCTGGCGCGGCGGGAAGCGGGCGCGGGGCGGCGCTTTCCCTCGCGCGCGGAAACGGGAGGCGGCTTCCGCCTCGGCTGCCTGCCGATGCGGGGAGCGGGATCAGGGGCAGAACGGGGTCCTGGTCAGAACACAGACACACTTAGGCAGGAGGAGGCTGCTGTTCTGGCCTAACAACCTCCGGCACCTGTAGTATTAGGTCTAACCCTAGAGATAAGAGGGCTTCACTCACCTAATGACTCTAATCAGAGCATCTGAAGGGTTAAGGGTGGAAGGGACCTCTAGAAATCCGTGTTTTTAAAATCTTAATTCTACAGTTTACAGTGATTTCACATGGAGCAGGTAATCAGGGAATCTTTTCCTTCATCACGTATTTCCAGCAATGGAGAAAAGTCAAGCAAAATCACTACAACCAGGCTCCAAATCACATTTTGCTAGCATATTCATCTTAAAATAATTACTTGCAACATAGTCTTTATACAGATGTTCTCTTTCCTGTAAATCACGTGTGTACTGTCGGTTGCTACAGCGTGGATTTAAGTTTCAGATATATAGTTACATAGTTAATAGACAAAAAGTAAGCTTCTCTTCCTGGCAAAATTCCTGTTAAATTACCTAAGAACAAGGACAATACAATTTACAAAGGGTAAACACTGATATTATCTCAAAACTTAAAAAAAATACATAAAGAAAACAATTATTTAATTAATAATTTTATGTAGCACAGATGTAATTAATTTTGTAACAGGACAATTAAAACAAATGGCAATTTAACCAGTAACAAAATCAAGAAAATGGATCTCAGTATATATTAAGAACTCAATAAAAAGCTCAGAAAGCTGAAAAAAATGCAATTCCTAGTTTGTCTCCAGGAGGAACTTTTGAAAATTCAGGTTAATTCCTAAATTAAAGCATTTGTGAAGGTTAACTTGGCTTGTTCTAGGTAGAAAGTTTTATGAAATTATCCTTTTCGTGAATCACATGGAAGAAACACATAAACCAGAGAAATCAGTGAGAATAAAAATTAGATTTTTTTTTCAAATATATATTTATGTATATATATATCCCACTTCAGGATAGCAAACAACTTGTATCAGAATCTCTAGCGGGGACACATCTGTGCATTTGAGAAAATGAGAAAATCAATGTGAATAAGCTTTTGAACAGTGAAACTCAGTTTTAAAATATCAAATATCAAACTTCAGGAGCCATGGGCCACAAAGAGAGAGATTTCTTCTCCCCTGCAACACAATTCACAAGCTTCTTGGATAATTGCTATAATGACTAATGACGTGACAAATACCGCCTCAGAAGGCAAGAAAATAACCAAGCAATAAGGGACTTCAGCTACTGCTTCAGTTATGAAAGGAAAGAATTCCAATAGTTCTCTCCATGCTTTGGGAGCTTTCCTCATTGCAGTATAATTCATACTAGACTTCACATATTTATTTTGCTTCTAACGTCAACTCTGTTGTTACCTGCAACCATTCGTCTTGATTTATCTTGTGACATCATTTGTTTTCATTTAAGCTTATGATCTGTTAGCGTTTTTCATTTGAAAGACTGTACTTAATTTTTGTCCTCCTCTGGAATGCCACCTAGTGGCTTCACCTTGGAAAAGACCAGCTGTTGCTTTTGTCAAATCTGAAAAAAGTGTTCAAAATTCTCAGAAGTCTAAAGAATTCTGTACAGTAAAAATATCAGTGAGAAAACAAACAACAAAAAACTGCTCAGCAATTTACCCTGTGAAGAGTTCATGAACCCTTACAGGTTCACGTGATTTTTCTTCAAAAAAATTCAGAAGGTAGAAAAAGATTTTAGAACATTCTTGAGGCTCTTACATTTGAATAATTTACAAAATGTCCTGAAAATGCATAATGATTATGCACAGTTAGCTATCTGCACCTGAGAATACTATTTTACACTTATTTTAACACTTACTTATACATGCCCTGTATGTACAGCTATGGCTGCCCAAAGAAGTGAGCACTGCCTTCAGTATTTCATCAACATAAATGTCTTAAAATACAACAAGGTAACATCAATTTTTGCTATATCAAAATCTTCACAGAAATAAAAAACTTTTAAAAATAGGTGATTTCTTTTCCTTTTTTTGAATCTGTGTGAGCAATCCCATCAATTAGTAAGTCAGGCTTCATGCTTCTAGATACAGACTTATTTGACTCTGCATTTTCCAGTGTCGAGATGGAGATCCTCTGATGTCTAGTAGATACAGATCTTACTGCCTATCTGAAAAAGACCTCTGAGATGCTCCTGTATTTTGCTTTAAAAAGCACATGCCAGCAAGAGCTTATTATGCTACTGCAGAGAACTGATAAAGGTGGTCATCTTACAAGAAGCAGTACAGTAACTTCAACAGTAGCTCCTAACATTTGGCTTTGGCTCTCTCTTAGGCATAGCATGAATGCCAAATGCAGCACTTAAACACAGTTCAGCAAATGAAGTACTGCATTAACAGCAAAGGTTGCGTTTTACCATAATCCTGATTATTTTAATATATTTACTAGTCAGCAGTTTTCTTATTAGACCAGGTATCCTTTGTACTCATTAAAGACAAAGCATATTTTAGAGACTGCTCAATTACAGTATTTCTGTCTAAAAAAAAAGCCTGTTTTTGAACAAATTTCAGTTGGTAGTCACATAAGCCTTCACAGCAATACCCTTCATAAAAGATTAACTTTCTGAAAGCCTGCAGGTTGGTTTTGAACAATACCAGAGAAAGCACAACATTTTTTTTCGTTAGATAACAGTGACAACTCTGAATAATCTTTCCAAGACATTGTATTCAGCTTTGTACCTTCATTGCTTCTGCAAGGAAAACTCTAATTTTCCCTTGGAAGTTGTTGCAGGTTTGTACTTTATATAATTATGAAAAAAATAGCTCTTACAAAATGTTATGTAGTTGAGTGTAGCAGCACTCAACAACCTTTAATGCACTTTATATATGTTTTTCCTTGTACAGATACATTATTTTTAAAATTGCAATGTAACGAGCAAAGGCAAATTGCACAGAACTGCAAATGCTTATCTCTGCTTTGAATATTTTTAATTGGCATCCATAACTTTAAATCTGAGCAGGGATATATACTCTTTTTATTTAAGTACATGAAAGAAGCACCTAGTCAGATGTGCCAATACCTACTTTTTGTACCTCCTTATTAGGAGGTAATATTCTAATTCAAGATCTGTGATACTCAAATAAATCCATGAAAACAGACCTTTATATAGAAATCCTTTACAAAAATCAAATTCTCTACATATAAAAGCCACTTAAGCTTGTTATTACACTAAATGAGGTAACCTACTTCCTGGTCTATCCTTGCTGACAACTAAAGGGTTAGTCCATCCTGCTCTCACCTTGAGTCTTCCCTGCTCCTTTTCCTCTGCTAAAATTAGTGTTCACACAACCAGTGAAGTCAACCAGATCAAACTAGAAATATTGTTGTTTTTGGTAAGGTTCATATCAGTACGACAATTCTAGGGGTTGCACGGTCACAGATATACTGTATTAGCACTATAAAGTTGACAAAAATACACAAAGAAAGATGCGAGGAAAGGGCAGAATCACATCTTTCTACAACTTTGATTTCAATTTCCAATAGTCCATCACATGTGCTTGTTAACATGCAATACAGGTAAGAATAACTTTCAACTGCAATACTTGCCATTTCTTAAAATGCTCAATGACACTATAGTCATGTAACAATGTACAGTGAATCACTGTACAGTGATTCTAAAAATTCTTTGTAAAACCATTTCTGTTTGTTACAGAGACAAGAAGAGTGGTTCAGAAAGAATGAGGCAGCAAAACCCCGTTAATCAGGACATGACAAAAGGAAACAAGTCAAAGGTTACAGAAGAGCTGAAAAGAATGTTCTTAAACTACTTTTGCAAGACACTGGAAGAGTCTCAGGATGGCTAAATAAGTGGACATGAAGACAAAACATGTTTTTATTAAGTTATTTAATTTAAAGATAATTGTCAGTAGCATTATATCAATATTTAACATTTTTTTTAATTTCAAGTTATACCGCTTCGAGTATTATATTGGCCATCTCCACTGGTCAGAAGGAGGTTCGTCAACTAGAGGCTCCCATGGTTTCCACTGGGTCATTTTTCTTGCCAGAGAAAGCTCACTTTCAGCCTGTTAATAAACATCATATACAAGCTCTTAAAAACTGAGTATAACTCAAGTATGAAATTAACTTTATTTCAGCTCATCATACCAGCAACATATCACCATCTACCATGGTCAGGGTTTACTTCCAATTTTATCTTTAAACTGAAAAAACAAAAAGCTCCTTCTGAATTAACAGATAAGGCGACCCTCAAATGCTCACAGAGACAGTCTGTTCACCTAGTCATTTCCAAAGACAGCTTCATGACAACCTCTTCAACCCTGTTATTTTCCCAGTCTACCTAGTTTATCTTCCTATATCACTGTTATCCACACCCTCCATAAACTGCATGAATGTTAAGCATACACTTTCCATTAACATGGTAAGCTTAACTAAGTGTGTTAGTTTTCAGCCTGATCATCCCTTTCATGCTTCATTTTCAGCTTCTTTATAAAAGAAATAAACAGAGATGGTTTCTAGGAAAGATAAACTGTAAATTTTAAGTTCAGTCAAAACAATACTTGGAAACACTACTCCAACCTGTAACTAATTTTAAGTTTCCCATTTTTTACCTGTAAAATGACTTCTTCTATGTGACCACTATTCAGCTTGTCTTGCAGCTTTTGCACATCTTTTTCCTGTGTATTCAAATACATGTGTTTAGTTTTACTTAGCAGTAAAAGTAGAAACACACTTTCCTTTGGGTAAACAAAACATCAAGTTCTCAACTATAAACACTGAAAAGTTGCACTACTTAATGGCACCCAAAGAACCAGCAAAGGGCTGGAGTATGCATCTTGAAAGATATTTTCCTTACCTTTAAGAAGAATATTGAATCTTCCAGTTATCACCTTAAATACACCACCAATACTGCATAGCTTACTGCACCCAGCAAGTGTTTTAAAACGTCAGATGTAAAAATTGCTCTAACAGTACATGGATTTTCTGGTACAAATATGTGGATGTTATCACTATTCTACAAATAGAAAACTATTTTTCTTCTAATTTTCACAAAAAGCACCAGCTATCAGAAAGTCTATCTGTTAAAAAGGATATTTTTAATATCCCATTGAAAATATTCTAGTAAATAACAAAATAAAATTGAGACATCAATTATTTCTGAATTGATATCTGCAAGTTGCTCATGTCCCCAGAAAACAGCAGTCATTTCAAAAGTTGTTCTTCACATCCTAAAAATTTTTCCACATGCAATACGTATGAAACAGCTCTATACTTACTGTTTGCACCAAATTAATTCGCTGATTTACAATCTGCTCGGTGTATTTCCTATATGCTGCATCTTTGGGAATGCTTTGCAGAACAGTGAGAATTTTTGTATACAGTATTCGCAGGCGCTGAAGTGATCAAGAGACATCATTAATATACAAAATAGGACTTATTTAACTGCATATCCTACTTAATCTGCTTAAATATACAAAACACTGTAAGCATTTGGATTCAAAACGTCTCAAATAACAAAACAGCCAAGTCCGACCCACACAACTGTTTTTTTTGGGATGGACTGGGATTTATCAGAACTTATCACTGACAGCTTCCTTACATTTTTTTTTTTTTAATTAATCACAAAATTGAACTAGATACCTGTATTTCTAATATTAGCTATGCTTTTCAGAGATTAAATTAATCTCCAAATGATTAGTTTCATAAAAATTACTCAGGAAGATAAAAAGACGCATATTACTTAAACTAGAACTTTCAGCTTTTTTTTCTCCCCACCTCTTCTCATGCTGATACAAAGTTCATCTGTAAATACTGCTGTACTTAAATGCAGTGGTAAACTACATATCAAGATAATTAATAAATGCCAGCTATGGGACATCTCTTTGCCCAGTAACAATATCTAACTGAAGAAGAATGGAAGTCCTATAAGAAGAATAAGAAACAAATGTATATTTTAAATAGAATTGTTGCATAGCTGGAAATTTCAAAGTAAGGAGGAAATAAAAAACTGCAGAAATCTTTCAAAAGTTCCTATCTCTTACACGAACAAGCCAGATGCTGTAAACTCACCTGCCTTGAGCAGGCAATAATGAAGTACCAAGCTGGTCATGAACCAGCTACTTGGTCCACAAGAAGTGCTGAGATAATTCCAATCATAGGCCCTGGATGTGATTTTTCATCAAAAGACTATCCTTTGACTAACATATTCTAATAGGTAAAATTAACCCACTCCTTTAGATCAAGTAGAGGTTTTTTTAGGTATGTACCGAAAATACAATAGTGAAGTATGAAAAAAACAAAATGTATGCTTGTGCACTAGTAATGATATTTATAAAGGGTTTGATTATATATTTATTTGGTTTGAATTGGAGGACTACAAAATATGCATCAAAAATGAATTCAAAAAGAACTTGCAGAGAGCGAGATTTCTGAAATGAGCACATACAAGAAAACATACCCAAAGTAATGCCCTGTGATCTGAATTAAAACTTCAAGAATTAATTTGCTTTTCTGTGTTTTTGCTTTCAACTGGGAAAACACTCAGGATCTGTCACTTAAATCGTGATCTCCTTAAGGGACCGCATCCAAACCAAAACAAAAGCCCCACTTTGTCCCCCCTCTCAGTTTCTGTTAAGCCCGGTGTAACTCGTAACGTACCTCGTGAGGATTTTCAGTTGCACCTAATCCTACCAGGCCGGTGGTCTGCAGAGAGAGCACAAGGGAGGGTTTCATGCCCCAGGACGCTGTCTTGGCTCTACCCGGCCCTTTTGGGGCCCTCCCGCCCTCACAACGTCCCGCGACACGAGCCCCCCCAGCGCCACACGGCGCCGCGGCCTCAGCTCCCCCCGCCTCGCTCCTCCTCCCGCGAGACCGTTAACGGTCGCGGCCGCCCAGGGTGCACTGAGCCCCTGCGCCGGCCACTCTGCTCGGACACCCGCTCCGTGGGAGGTCGCCGCGCGGGACGAGCACACGGACACCTCTCACCTTCCTCAAGGCGCCCGCCATGGCTGCGCCCCGCTCCGGCAGCCGGCGCCGCCGCGCGCATGCGCCGCGCCGAGGCCCTGCGCGCCGCGGCTGGAGGACGCGGCGAAGGACGGCGGCTGCGCATGCGCCGGGCGGCGCGGCACAGTGCGGCGCATGCGCAGAGCATCGACCCGGGGCCGCGCCGGCGGTCGTGGCGCAGCCGGCTGTGGGCTAGAGGCTCTGCGGCCAGGGAGAGCCAGGGACAGAGACCCCAGTCCGGCGTGTTGCGTTTGCGTTTTCACTTAATGCTGTTTGAACAGAGATTAACGGTGCAGTTAGCTACAGTTCCTGTTTCCTTTATCACTTGTGACAGTTGAAAACAACAGATACAGAACAATAGTTGTCTGCAACTGCCAGTAATGTGTCCTTAGAGCTGTCACAGGATTGTAGGCTTTCAGGTTTCTTTTTTTTTTTTTTTTTTGCACTGATCCCTCAGCATTCAAACCCAGTACAATTCAAAAGTAATTTCAAGTCTTTCTTTTGGACATCAGACAACTAAAGATTTATCTTAGTGACCTAGCTGTGTATTTAAAGGGCAAATATTGCACTGTAGGATTTGATATTGTTTGTGTTGTAATTGTTTATATTGCAATTATTCTACATAAGTCTTTATTGATTTCTTTTGGTCTCCTCTTGAGGCCTTCCTCCCTCCCTTCCTCCCTTCTTTCCTTCATTCCTTCTCTAATTGATAAGCCCTGTCAATATCTGAGCTTGCAGAATATCAAAGAATTTTCATTGAAAATCAGCCTTCTAATAATGCATAGTCTACCTGAGCTGCATAACAAGCAACTTTATTGACAAAGTTACTATTAGGATGTGCTGTGTTTGCTTCTCCAGTGCTGCGTGCTCTTTGGGATTGTGTCAGAGGGGTCTAAGGTTCCCAAACTTGGCATTTCTGAGTCATAGGGAATATGTCTGTCCATTCAAAATGAAATTATTTAAAAATTCCAGACCTTTTTATTTGACTATCCCCATATTTTTCTGTTTTCTGTAGTGTTTCAAGCAGACTGGTATGTGTGATTCAGAACCAACCATGGCAGAAATTACTCCGTGGGGTGGCAGTTGTCTTTAGCCAAATTAGCCATATAGCCCAATTAGCTCCATTCAAATACTAGTTTTAATCGTCTGTCTAGACAGCCCAAACATACAAGTGTCCCTGCCACATCCAAGCACCAAGTGTACAAAATGTTAAGTCTCATTGACAAGACAGTTCATAAATCTATCAGGAACTCAGAGGTATTTCAGTAACAAATTACTCAAATTGTTAAATCCTGTTTCAAAAGTTAGTTTATATAGTTTAAAATATCACAGCTCCCAGACTGTAACTATGTAAGTATTGCCAGAGTACTTACAATAATTACTCAGCTTTTGAAAGAAAAATCTATGTAGCATTTTACAGTTTATTACTTGTTGTTTTAACAGTGGGTGCTCAGCCGTGTATCCTGTGTGGTGTCACTACACAGCGCGTGGGCACCCCAAGAAGGCCCTGCTACAGCTGCGACTTCTCCCTTTTTTGTGTCATCAGTGAATTCATATCATCAGTGAATTCATATCATGTCACATCACAGAGATGATATGTGGAGCCCTGCAAATTGTCGTGTGATTCAATAGCTGGACAAGTCACAGAATCACAGGATGGTTGAGGTTGGAAGGGACCTCTAGAGATCATCTAGTCCAACCCCCTGCTCCAGCAGGGACACCCAGAGCACGGGGCACAGGGTGGCATCCAGGCAGGTTTGGAAGACCTCCAGAGAAGGAGACTCCACAAGCTCCCTGGGCAGCCTGTGCCAGGGCTCTGTCACCCTCACAGCAAAGAAGTTCCTCCTCACATGGAGATGGAACTGCCTGGGTTTCAATTTGTACTCATTATCCCTTGTCCTGTCACTGGCCACCACTGAGAAGAGTTTGCCCCCTTCCTCCCTACATTCTCCCCTCAGGTATTTGTACATGTAGATTAGATCCCCTCTCAACCTTCTCTTCTCAGATTGATTCCATTTATTCTGTTTATTCCAAAGTCTTATTTATTCCATGTGCGTGAAATTAAAATTGACTGATGTATATAAACCTAGTAGCTGTGTAAGATCAGACTCAGATGCTGTTTGCATAACAATGCTAAATAGTACTGAAAACAGTTCAAAATAATATTACACCTGCAAATAGAGCTGTTTTGATAGTGCCCTGGTGAGGTAGGGGAAATGAAAGCACTGAAGGTAAGCATTAAAACATCTGTGCTTTTATATGTATGCATAAATGTAGGGACACAAATATACACATAGTATATATGCACACCTTACATATTTGCAAATACTTTATATATACTATATTAAAATATTTTACTTCCTAGGCAGCTGTGGAGCAGATGCTCAGCACTGCTGCAGCTGCTGCCGCTGCATTGACTGGGCTTTACTTCAGAGGCCCCGCACAGTTATTCAAGGCACAATTGTGAAAGCAGGTGAAATGAACATTATTTATTGAATTATTTTGTTGATCTTATGCCCAAACATGACATGCATTTAGGCACCCTGGTTAGGCTTTCGGTTTTGTGGTTCTATAAATATGAGTGGAGCGTGGGGCACAGGGGAGCGGTGAAGGCCGGATCATTTGCTCCAGTGTACAAGCCCGTTCCTGTAGCTCCTCAGAATCCACAGTCTAAAATGGTTGTTTCATCAATTGGAACTGGTCAATTGGAGACTGGTTGGAAGATTGTTGTTCCAGTTTGTTATGTTCAGTTTGTGACTGTTCAAACTTGTTTTTCTTTCTATCCTGAGAGCTTCAGTTGGTTAAAAACTAAACCAAGACAGATAAATAATATTGCATTAGTGTCTGTTAGATAGCGAAAGAAATCCCGTTTCCTACTCATCTTCTGCTATTTGTTTTAACTTGTTGGGCACTGTGTTCTTTATATTGCCCTTGGGTTATTCTGCTTTGTCTCACTGATGCCTGCGCTGTTCTGTTTCCTGGCTATTAGTCCAATTTCAAGTTTTTAAATCTATGTAAATAAGTACTATCCTTGACAGTGAATCCATAGAACATTGTGTATAAGCCTCAGAGAAACTAGTTAGTTTTTGGTGATGTGACATGACAAGATCCAAGACTAGTTCAAGGCTAGACCTCAGGTTTGTTTTACTTCAGTTTATGTAAATACATCACCAGATTTTGTTAATACAGCCACTGAGAGTAAGTTTGCAAATAATCTGTTTTCTTAATGAGAGCTTTTGAGCCAAGATAATCTTATTGTGTCGTCCGGAGCTCGTGTTAAATTTCATGAGATTTTAGAGAAGTCATGTGTAATACTTTCCTGTGGGTTGAACACGCTTATATTACAGTTGTACAAGGTCAGGCCTTAATTTAACTAGCAACTGTGTGTTTAATTTTAGAAATATCACAGGACACCTCAGCTTGCAGGGCGCTATTCCTGGCTCTTCGAATGGCAGGCCCAAGAGTAACAGTGACAAGAAAATGGGTTGAAAAGGTGAGAATTTGCTATGCCCGCCAATTTGACTAACAGTGAAATACTTTGAAACTATGAATAATATTTAATATACCGAATCCAAATTTAGGTTGTTATGAATTATTTTATTGCTGTGAATAATCTCTTTGGGACTGCATGCCTAAGCACCTTCTATTTATAGAGAGCTAAGCTAGGATTGCCTAGTTTATTTTACAGATAAGAACTAGAATAACATTAATGCTCACATAACATTAATTTTCTATCTGTGTGTTTAATAGTGAAAAAACTTTGCTACACTTCTCTCTACAGAAAGACCCAATTTTCCTTGATTGGCAAGTATTTCAGACCTTCTGCAATGAAAACAAAATTAACTTCAAGAGAGCCGAACTCTTTTTTAGAAAACACTGAATTTTTATTTCACAGTAAGTATGCCCAAGTTAAAAGCAACAAGTAACTTTTTTTTTTTTTTTTTAGGAAAAAAAAAGACACAAAAACATAAAAAGGACAGAGTACTCAAAATGTGTATACAGAAAAATATTCTTGGTGATACAAAGACTAGCATTTGTTTGGAGTAAGCATTTCCAGTTGTTTCGAATGATCTGGTATTTTGATGTGATCATAAAAAAAGCTGATTTTCCTTGAGCAAATGAAATAAAATTTCGCTACTGAGCATTTTACCTTTTTCATTGCTGCCTCGTGTAAGAGAGATGTTTGTACTGCTGCTCAGTGTCCCAGCCACTGTTATATTCCTCTGTGATCCCAGTGGAACATCCACACTTCATTTGGATCTTGTCACCACAGCACAGCGCATTACCAGCAGTGATATACAAATCAAGCTCACAGAGCATTTATAAGCCTCTAGTAACATGTCCAGCACTTGTGTTATGAGGAGCTATTTGTTTTATCATATTTATTCTACCATGTCACAGTCACTTTCTACCTTCTTTTTCCATTTTATATATATATACATATTTTTTTTTTCCCGTGGGATAAAGTATTTTGAGAACAGTACATACAACATTGCTAAAGCAGTGCTAAACTGAGACCTTTCTAGTTAAGTGTGTATGTGAGCAGAGCTCAGTACTTGCTCTGATAGAATCAATTATGAGAAATACAGCAAAGAGATACTTGAGCAAATAGGTAAGAAAGCTATAAAATCAGCAACAAGAAAACAAATGTATATGATGAACTGTTAACTATTTTGTTTTTATAATCCTTCAGAGCATTACGTTTTACATTTTCATGTACCATTTACATTTACATTTTTACATTTTACATGATTACCTTTTGCATTTGATATTACATCTCTCAAATCTCATGTTTTTTTAATTGAGAAGACTCTCCATGGTCTGCTGTAGACCGGGAAGGGGGGATGAATACAGGTTGCCAGTGCAAACCATCTAGTAAAGTTCTTTTGATTTCAGAACTGAGTGAAGAACCACCACCACACAAATTGCAATGAGATACCTTGGGCTTTCTCTGTCAGAAATTCTGTGTCCAAACAGTATTGATGGGTGGATCACTTACCTGCTGCCAATACCACACTAGGCGAAGGAAACAAGAAAAAATGTTCTTTTTTTTTTTTTTTATGGAAAAAAAAGCTATTTCATAGCTTCTATGAATTAATAACGTTTGTGTAATTCTGGATAAGTATGATGTGTGATCATCCTTATAACTGATTACATTTGATTCAGAATAGCTGACCTCCTCTGTACATAAGTCTCTTTTTTGTCTTTTTAATTTTTCCTACAAATTTTGCATGTGTATATATTTTGGTTTGTTCAAGTACGCTTGTGAATGCCTATTTTACATGAGGAATCATTCATAAGGTTTTAATATTCTTTACTCTTCATTATTCAGGCTTTTGATTCAGGAAATCATATATCCGTCCACTGATTTGATGACCATAGCTTCCTAAAAAGGAGTCTCATTTCACGGTTCAAAAATTGTCAAATATTTATTTGTATATGGTAAATGTAATATGTGAATAATAAAAAGAGCTTTTCCAAATGGCATGTCCAGTACTCCCAACTCAAATGTTTACAGTATTTTGTTTCTTTTTCTATCATTTGTAAATAGATGAATATATGAAGTTAGCCAAGGTATTAGGCAATTAAAACAAATTGATAGAAACTCCTGATTTTATTACAAGAAACTTTCAGGCGTACCTTCTGTAGCATGTGACCTTTAGTAAGTGTGTTTTGTGTGTATTTCAAGATAGCTCATCATTCCATAATAAATAATGGATGAAAGTGAAGATTTGACTGAACACCTGCTCACTGAGTATGCCATACAGCTCAGCATTCACGAATCAAACGCAGCCAAGCCACCAGGATCTTCCAGCTATAATGACAGGTATTGTGAATTCAACACATGACATGTTTGTAGAGTGTTTTGACATTGTTATTGCTTTAGTGCTTTATATCTTCCTAGAAAGATTTCTTAGTGTGGCCCTTACATGTCTCTCTCTCAATAAAGCATTGTCTGAAGCAATGATGAAAAAGAGTAAGCAGAATAAAATCCTGTAGGTTTTTTTTTTTCTCATAAGTTTCTGAAAGATCAGTTTTAAAAGACAAGAACATCTGATTTGTTAGTTATTTGTTTGCTTGTTCCAACCCTTCTGTGAGCATTCCAACTGCTCATACAACAAAAATCCAAACTAAAATAATAAGAAAAATCCCTCAGGAATGATCGCAGAAGGATCCATATCTTATCTTAATGACTTATTTAAGGCCAGTCCCTTGGACTAGAAAATGTTGACCTCAACTAAGCACCTTTAGTGGGGCAAAGACTACCCATTGGAGGTCCTCAGAGACCTATACTCTATGGACAGTATTTTACAAGGTGGCATCTGCATTGAGAGCAGCTGGTCTCTTGGAAGCTTATAGAGAGAATTTAGGAAGATTAAATTCACTTGGCTAAACTAATACTTCCCCTAGCTATTTTAGGCCATTCACGTTCTTTCAAAAAGTGTAGTTGTGAAACAAAACGTGGTCTTAAGAGAATTCTTTGGCAGAAATACCTTTTCCTTCCCTACCTCCTCCCTGGAATGTTCTGTCCAAATTTGAAAGGGAGATACAGTCTCAATTGACTGATTTCCCATAAGATCAGTCAATCTGATTAAGGAAGGTCAGATCTTTATGAGGGACTCCTATTTTAAGATTGAAATCTTTCTTTTTCACTGAAGACTATAATTAAAGCCTCTAGTCTGTTATTTGACTTTGCCTTTTCTTTTTTTTTTTTTTTTTTT